GAGGTTAAAATTATAGTAAACAGAGGAACATCCACATGGGAATTTATGCCACAAAATTGCCTGTTCTAGATTATTAGGAAAAAAATATGACAAAGTAGAAAAAGATTTGTGATATGTTTTATCCTTTTCGACTTCATCGGTCTAAACATGTCACATGAAAACTTTTTTCCATTTTGTCATGGTGTTTTCTATAAAATTGTTCTTGATATATAATAAATTATATATTATTTTCCCAGTTCTAGATATATAAATGTAATGAATACTGCGCTTCATAACTTTATACTATGTTGCATAGCTGCCATTATTCAAGTAAAGGGAAGAGCTGCATTATTAGGTGAGTGTTCCACATTTTGTGCTTTTCAATTTATAATCAATATTAAATCTTGTTTTATTGTCACAAGATGATTTAAATAAAAATGTCCTAATTATTGTTTTAAATTTTAAAAGGCATTAAAAATTGAAAAAGTTTTAGTAGGGATGAAAAAATTTTTTAAATCAGAGGAAATTGACATGTATTGAGCAAATATGTTGAAAGAAATTTTGCAGCTTGATTACTTTTGTACTCTTCATCTGATTGGTCCAATCATCTTGTATAATTTTTTTCTGATTTCATCTTGCCATTTTCTGCTTGTGTTTCTTTTCAGTTGATGACACCTTAATGAAAGTTTTCCTTTTCTCTTTCTTAGCTATTGGATACTTTTGATGTCCATCTTTTGTCTAACATTCATGTTACATGGATGGCCTATTTTAACTTTTGCAATTGGTATTCAAGTCTTTGAATTTGGTATATATTTCTTTTTTGTAGTCCTTTTCAATATTTCTCTTACTCATAAAAAAGGAATTGTTAAGCCGGTACAAGCAGAATTAGTCTTGGTTAACTGAAAAACTTTGGTTAATGACAGGCATCAATTCTTTAAAAGCTTCCCAATATAGGGTGAAAAGTGTCATCAAAACAACAAAAAAAGAAATCTTGCAAATAAGACACTCATTTATGAGAGAAAAAATATGGGTATTACTTGAAAATATTTCATGATAAAAGAATTTCATTTTTAGAAAAGAGTAGCAATATTTCAAGCTAAGTATTACAGATATAAATTTTCAATTTGATTGTGTGTTTTTCTTTAAAGAAAACAATGCTTGACTTACAAAACTATGTAAATGTAGAAATCATGTAAAAAGAACAAGAGCATTTTTGTAATACAAAGGGTTTGGTTACTAATACATAATAATCACAATAAAATCACAAACACTCACTTGCTATCAGTATTTAGTCAGAGACAACAGTGTGACTTTCTAGACATAATATAAAACTGTAATAAAAATTAAGCCAAGAACAGTAAAATATTAAAAAATATATTTGTATTTGATGAAACTTTTGGAAAAGTGATTATTGTTAATTTTTGAGTCCTATTTTATTGGATTTCACTTTTGCACTTATTGTCTTAAATTGTTTGAATTTCTTAAATGAAGCTTTGTTAGTTATTATTGTTTTGTATTTCCTTTTATTATTTTTTCTTTTTATCACAACTTTCAGAGTGTCCATTCTAGTCATTGAACAGTATAGATTGGAAATAAAGAATAAGTTTTTGGTGAGAATTGAATTCATATCCTTCCATCACCTTGGAGAAGCATGCCTTTCTGATCTTACTGATTAGGCTACAAATACTAACTGATCATAGTAATTCGAATCTAAACATTCTTTTCCTTGAATAATATCATCTTGTTTAGATTTGATTTTAACAGCTTTAGTTGTAATATTCACATTCTTTTAATTCAAGGAATTATATTGACAATTCTTTGTCAACTGCTGTTTGTTACATTTCTCTGCTATCAACATATGCATAAAACCGATTCCATCAATAAGACCATTATTAGTCTGAAAAATTTCTTTCTAGGAACAAAACATTTCATGTAGGATCTTTTTTTTTTTTAAATATACATATTGTTCATGTGATATCAAATACATAAAAAAATGACTAATGCACTATATCTTTTATATAAATAAAGTGCAGTGTATGTGTGTTCATCTGTTTTTCGATATCAGCAAATCATTAGCAACCTGAAGTAACAGATAAATTTAAATATCCTACACAGCAAAAGGTTTAAAAAATAATTCTTTATTAAAGGTCTAACTTTAATTTTGCTTTTTGTCATAATTGCAATTGATATCATTTAATTAAACCATTATTAAAACTTAAGCAAGGCACAGTATGTTGCTCATGTTTTTTTTTTTGCTGTGATGTATTCAAAATATTACATCGTTCATGTTCCCTAATGTCTTTTAAGAGTGACTTTATTTGAAGGGATCATAAAGAATGGTGATTTTAAAAGAAAATAAAAATTGCGCACAAAATAAATGTAAACAAACTATGGAGATTGGTTGTATATATGAAGAAAGATTATGCCAAATTAAAGTGTCAAATAAAGATAAAATAATATTATTATTTCTAAATTCTTATAACTTTTACGTACTGAAGATAAAAGGCCCAATAGCTTTCTGCATGAACTAGCCTAAAGTCTGGCTTCTGGGTGAGTTTAAAATAGAAGTACAAAGTCATCACAGGACTCTAATTCTTGATAAATACTTAAGTTAGTTGAAATCATAAAATACTAAATAAGCAGACATAAACTGTGGACAGTTCCTTTATAATTCTAACATATGGATATTAATCTGTCAGAGGAAAATATTTTAAAATATGAAAAATTTATCAAGTTTATTTATACACACATACAGTTATATTCCATGATTCTAGGAAGGCAGTTAGTCAACTTTTATAAAGTAAATTCTCCAAAAAATCTTATTATAAGAAAAGGTTTAAAAACTACTTTACCCATGCTGCCAAAAATGATGGTAAATTTTCTTAAATCCTCAGAGAAGGCTTTTTTTAAAATATATTTTTTCCAGTCATTATTGTTGTACTTTGCTCTTTTATGGAGTGGGAGTCCTGGGTATGATGATAAATTACATCTGGCAGCAAGGCCTCTGATCGGGAGATTGAAGGTTTTGAGGAGCATGGAACCACCTCTTAATTGCTGTTGTTTCCACATCCACACTGACCAAGGATGGTAGCACCTGTTAAGATCCCAGTATGAAAGTATAAAAATACATTTTTATAATAAAAATATCAGAAATACATTTTTATGAAAAAAATAGCAGCAATACCTTCTTATAGCAAAATTAGCAACAATACATTTTTAAAGCAACACCACCAGCAATACATTTTATCTGTAGTTGAAGGATTACAATTGCATTCAAAATATATTTAGTTGAAGCTATAAAATTGTTCAAATTATTTACATTTCAGCATTAAATAATCCATAGAGGTTGATATGCTGCTAAACAAAATCTATCAAACTAACCAACATGAAAGAATGCTTTCATGATATTAAGCCATATAATATCTGACAATTTCTTAAATCAAACTGTATAGCAAAATATAACTTCAAAAAAACTAGAACATAAAAAACATATCACCACCTCTAGTAATTATGTCTACACAAACATATGCACATAAGCTGAGTATCATCTACCATGTATTAAATTGTGAAAGCAGAATATTTTTATTACTTGAAAGCTCCCAAGAAAATTAAATGTTGGCATTAAATGACCCATAAAGAGTTGATATGCCGTTCACTCAATCAATTATGGAGTTGGTGTTTTCATCTGCCAGCTTTGTAAACATCTTCAGTCTGCCATTATCATCACAAAGAAACTAACACCGGGTGTCTCTAGAACAAGGGAGATAACTCGTCATTAGCAACATTAACAGAAACATGACAACCAAAAAGTATACAAATATGCTTTATGGTGTATTTTGCAGTAAGATATTTCGTAAAGAAATTCAATAATTGAAAGGGGAATTTACAAGCGAATTTTTAAAAAAAGGAAAAACGAAATTAACAAGATATTGTTTTTTTAGCTGCTTAAATTCTGTTGGTCTACAGTTTAAAAAATTATTTGTGACTTTACTTTAGATTAAAATTTTGAAAATTTCATAAGATACTATCTGCTCACATTTGAAAAGGGTTACATTTTGAAATCAAATACAAATTAGGCAAAGGCAGACAATGTAACAAATATGCACACTGAATAAAAGGTAAAATTTCTGCTGCCCTTATGATCTATTATTAAATATGATTTGGAGTAATGATCTAGACATCAGGGAATGCACATATACATATACTGACAAATGTTGAAAGGCACAGAAGGCTTAAAATGAAATTAATAACCATTTACTGAACTGTAAACTGAATTCAATGAGTCAAGTTACAAATCTACAATGAACTGGACATTTTTCATTTTCTCTTTAATAAATAATCTTTATAATTCTAGTCATATTAGGTAGGCACTGCCTACCCAGAGGGTATGTCCATGAGACATACACACACCCAAATGAATAAAAATCTTGTTCCAGAAAATGATTTTACCAACATACGAGCAAAAACCATACTTGTATTTTTTAAAAAAATGCTTCTAAATTTAGAAATACAAGGGGCTATTGAAAAATTCTTGGCCTGACCCAATTCCTAAAAATCAGAATTTTGATTTGGTTATTGAAATACTGTGGTCAGACTGAAAATTTTTCAGCAATCCACTCTATTGTCAAAAATTAGATCACAAAGTTTTATTTTTTATAACTAATTCTTCCAAGTATTCGTTTGTGTAGGAATGAGATTAATGAATATATTGATAGTTTTTCCTATTTTGACAAAGCTAAATACACTCAGAAATTCAATATCTGTTTACAACATGATTGAGGAGAAAAAAAAAAGAAACAAAAACAAAAAACAAAAAATAACTGAGAATTCAAAGAGTTTTATTATACTATAATTTTGTTCACTCAGATTTCCTTCAGATATGTACATGTGAACGTCAACATGGTTGCAATTTGCACATCTTTTGGATGTCAATCTTGCATTAGGAAATACACACATGCATACAGATACACACATACTAACAATTACTAACATGCAGATTTTTCTCCTAACATCCCACCCCATTATTCAATGACAATTTCTGCTCCAACAGCTTCTAAAGCATTTTTCAGCTGTTCGGCTGCTTCTTTTGATATATCAGTTTTGACAGGTTGAGGGGCAGACTCCACAAATTTCTTAGCCTGAAAAAAAAAAAAGAAAATAAAGTATTAAGAAATTAAGTTGTTCACAAAATTTATGACAGTTGAAATTGGTTTGGTTTTTGTTTTATGGCATATCAACCTCAAAAGATTATTTATTGCCAACAATTTTCTTTTCTTTTTTTTTACAGTTGAAATTGTGCAATTGTTATCCTACATAATTTCTTCAGGTTATCTTTTCATTTTTTCTTTTTTTTTTCTTGCTCAATATTGTTAGTGTTGACCATTCGAACCTATGTGTTTTATTTTCTATTTCTTGCATATGCCAAAGTGGTTGTTATTGTTGTCAACAATTCACAGAAATTATGTACAAGGAGATGCTGAAAAGTTCTTGGCCTGACTCATTTCCCCAAATCTGACCAAATGACTAAACATTAATATTTTGTTTTTGAAAACTCTTCTTCATTGAGCCAAGGACTTTTCAGTACTTACATGTATAAGTCTTACCATTTTTTAATATTAAAATCATCCTTAATCAAGCTGGTTAAATTCATGGAGCAATAAATGAGAGAGTTCCACAATGAATGACTTGTAAAACTAAGTAGCAAATTCACAGGTGACATATTAGCAACAAAACATTAAAAATTCTCTTAAATAGTTTTATCAAAATGGTTTCATTAAGAAATATTTTGAAACTTGTGTGATCTGTATTTGAGTTAAAATTGATAGATCCAGAAATTTTAATCTAATTTTTTAATTTTTTACTGCTTTATCTGTTAATATTTTTCTCCAGTTTCTTCATTAGAGGAAATTGATTTTTTTAAATATTTTAATACCAGATTGTGGACCATAAAATTACTTTAAACATATTGGCAAAATCAAATCTAGAAGGGTTGATCTCTCGGGTTTTCATGATCAAACAAAAATGAAACATAAAAAAATTGTTAGGAAAAAAAAGAAAAGAGCATTTATAAATTTCAGATTGTGTCTATTACAATGAAGAAATGCTTAAAATTCTCATCAATAGGATTTTGGAGCAACAATTGTTTTCTGTATTTAAACACATTTTGTTTATCACAAAATTATTGTACAATAAAACCAAATCTCTTCTCATTCTCTTTCAAATAAACACAATAATTGACAAAATTACCTGAACCAAATTTAAACCAGAAATCTGATTTTTTATTTCTTTGATTAATGCCACTTTTTTGGCAGCATTAAATTTAATGAGTTTCACAGTGAATAATGTTTGTTCTTCCTTCGGCGCTGTTGCTTCAGTTGATTCCTCCTGAAGAGACAAAACAACAAAAAATTAGGATGAAAATGCAAACTATTTTTAAGTAGACATTTTTTTTCACAACTTTGTTCAGAGATGATCATCATGGTTAAAATATAAAGACTCTTATTGGTTTTAGCAAAGGAATAAAAACCTTTTTGGGTGATAGTGGTAGGCAACATAATATTCACATGTGTGTGAATACATATATCCGTGCATGCACTTGTGAATATATATATATGTGTGTGTGTGTGTGTGTGCAAAAATTTCAGAAAGTATATCTAAAGGGACAATATCAATAAAGACAAAAGGAAAACTTAACTGACGCATTTTGTCCTCTGAAAGACTTTATCAAAGCAAATGTATGGATATTATTTTGTGATAAATATTTATATACAAGAGCAAATAGTCGCTCAAGGCATGTGGGCCTCCTTGAGGGAAGGGAACATCCAGTCATCATGATTGCTGACAGTTCAGGCTCTGATTTGTGATGGTCAAATGTAACTAGCTTGGTTTTTGAGGCAATGAATGTAACCATCCAGTTTTACCCCCACCAAGATGTTAGAGTTAGATCGGAGAAGAGAGATCAGCTGCCAATCTCTGGTCATCTAAAGTTTGGAGATGCATCCATAAACTATTGTATCATCGGCATAGTTATTCACAAATGATCAGGTATACTCTTAGGCAGATGTATGTAAAGTAAAAAGAGGTTTAGTCCAAGAAGTGACCCCTGGGGGATGCTTGTGTTGATTGCTAAGACTGGCTGTTAACAACTACTTCAAGGACCTACCTATTATAAGGACTTTATAATTGAGAAGACTCTACCAGTAATTCCATAGCTGGAGAGCTTGTGCAGCAATCCTTTGTGCCACACCTTGTCAAAGACCTTTGAAATATCTAAAGCTATGATTCTTGAAATATATTTGTTGTCTAGTACCTCAAATTCTGTGAGTAATGCTAGTTAGGAAATCAGCAGTGGATTGGGTCAATCTAAACCCATACTACTTGTCACTCAAGAGGATGTTCTTATTTAGGCGATCAACAACTGTCTTCAGCCACAAAAACCTTGCTAATGACACCAAGGAGACTGGTGGGTCTATACTGAGAGGGTGATGAGTGCTTGCCTATGTTCTTCAAAACCAGGCATACGTTTGACATGTTCCACAGACTTGGTAAGGATTTTTCCTCCAAGCAGTGGTTAAATAATTTTGATAAGATTGGGGATAGTTCTGGGTTGATATTCTTAAGGACAACCACTGGGATTTTATCTGGACCAGTGATTTTATTATTAAGAATAAATGTTCCATTAAATGTTTACATATAAAAGCAAGAATTGATTTATTTGAACCATTTTGTCCATAGTTTTCTACCTTATTTTCATGTTTTCAAAAAGCTCTAAAATGTTCAATTTTTATTGTAATGGTTTGTTATGCTTAGCAATACAGAAGTTTGTAATGTTTGTAAATTCTATATTTCAATGTTTTACACAAAACATCAATGTAAACATTCCAATAAAATATTTTAATGTCCTTAGTTTAGTTTCTGTGGTCAGCCCAAAATTTAGCAGGTGCTTCTAAAATCTTTCTCTCCATTTTGAATGTGCTGCAACTTCCATATCAAATATAGAATAATGACAAAATGAAATGAAGTGGCTTATTTGGATAAAATTTCAGCTTGATATCTTCTTAAATATCAATGTTACAAAATGCCAGATTTATTAAAATCATGTCTTTGCCACGAGAGTTCATTCTTTTAAAAAAGCATTTAATTTCTGAAAGAAACTCAAACAAAAGCAACATTTTTGTTGAATCATTTTCAGTTATGTAAGAATACTTGGTAAATATATGAAAAAAAAAAAGTAAAAAAAGAAGTTTAATGGCCTATATGCTCAAATGAGGACATGGAAATAAGCAATTTTGAAAAAGTCAAGCTTATTTCAAATTCTTATAACAATTATAAGAGTAGTGAAACCTTTTTTCCATTTTTCTTGGCCACCAAACCAGGCCTGATGTTATCTAAGAGCCAGCAACTGGCTACTGTGAAGCTTCTATGGAGAAGAATTAATTCACTCTGACAAGTGAGGACACCACCCATCTCATAACAACACAAGCTGAAATTTGTCTATTAAATAATTCAAATATAAAATAAGGATTTTTATAAAGTAATTTATGATCATAAAGTTGATCATTTACATGTAATTAGATGTAGATATGTATAAATAAATCTACGTAATTAGAAATTTGTGAAACATTTAATAATAGAAAGAAAAATAAAATACAGTAAATTACTGAAAAAAACAAAACAGAAATAAATTTGTGATTTACTTTAATAATAAAAGGGTTGAAATTATTTCTTTTTGTCAATACTCGAGAAATATCTACAGACAGATGTGTTACTATATCAGTACTAAACAAGAAAATTAATGAAGTTATTCAAATATTTGTTGTTGGGTGGGGGAGAAAAAAAAAAGAACTGAAAAACTCTACCTCTTTTACAGAAGTAGCAGCAGGAGCCATGGCCATCATTGGTGCTTCTTGAATATTCAAAGTTTTCTGAAAGCACAAGTGGGAGGAAAAAATGAAGAAAAAGAAAACTTGAAAATTAGTAATTTTAATCTTCTTTTATAAACATGTGTATCAAGATTTTTCAAATGGTTTTTGAGTTATCATCCAACAAACATATACATAGAAGATAGGTTATAAGACATTATTTCTTTCTCCTGCTATGTTAATATGTAGGGAAATTCAAAATGTGACAAAGCAGAACAAATCTTTTAATTATGATAGAGGTAGTTTTTCAATCAGGCAATATGAAATGAATTCAAATTTGCTATGCTGAAATACTTTATAGTATTATGAAGTAATGAAAGACACTGAAAAGATTTTCGTTATATCTAAAGAAAAAAAATTAACCTTTAATAATTCATTTAAATCAGCAACTTCAAGGAGAGTCAAGGTACCAATTTCATCTACTAATTTCTGAATCTTTGGTGCATATATCTTTTCTGTGCCTTGAATGTGAGGTGCTGCTAATGGCGCCTCTGAGCAGAAGACAAGAGATGTGGAAAACATAGCTGATTCCTGATTTTGGTTTTTGTTAGCCAAAAGTCTGGCAGTATAAAGGCAAGTCCTGTATGAAAAAAGAAAGAGAAAACAGTTATTCTATGGCACAGGAATGTATCTTCTCAAATATTACAAAGGATAGAGTAAGAAATTTTTCAAATATTTTTTATCTTTCAAGGGAAAAGTACAAAGGTTCTGAAGAATTTATTTCCAGCAATGTAAAAAATGGAAATCTCAGAATTTAGTCTCCATAATACAAGCAAATTGTCTATAAAATTAACAATGCAATTTCAGAAATTATATTTTTTAATTTTGTCTAAAAAAGATCATTTTTCATTAAATTCTTTTCAGTTATTAAAAGAAGTAAAGAATTTTTATGAAATCATATCTACAACAAAATACTTGGAAACCACTGAAAACATCTTACAAAAGAAAATTATTAAAACTTTTGAAAACCATTTTCATAGAAGCTTCTGTCAATTTCTTACTGTTTAGTGCTATTATCAATCATAGAAGAGGGGGAATACAGCAAGGTTATTCATTACATTAATAAAAAATGTTGGAGTTATTAGAGTCTAATTTATTTCCCAATATAAAAATGCAAACTGTTCTTTCTACTAATGAAATATTTCATTATAATAGTAAAAATGACATTACTGATGACAATATGCAAACATGCCTCGTGTCAGTAAAATATCACTTTAGTAAGTGAGGGAGATCAGGCTGCTAACTGATTGCATTTTATTTTTTCTTAGCTTTCTTTGTATATTTTTAATGATTAAAATCACAGGATTCTTTCTTACATACAATAATACTTAATTGCAGAAATAAAAATGCTTGATTATTCACACCAAAAATATAAACTATGTAATTGCAAAATTACTTAAATATAGTTGTCATTTTCAAACTGCATGGATAAACTAGTAAAGTTTTAGTCTTCTGCAGGTAAAATAACATGCAATATGGTGGATTCTTTTTTACAGTATCAGCAATACAAAATAATTCTGAGGAGACATGTAGATTTTTAGGTTCTGTCAGGTTTATAATGAGTAACTCAAAGTGCATACATCTAAATGGCTTTTGAGATTATCCAGTCAACTTTACAGTTATGATTAGATTTCATTAACTTTATTGACAAAAATAACAAAGTACATGGATTCTGATATAACATAAAAATAAACATCTTCGAAAGTCAAAATGTATGTACATCTAACAAAATTAAAATAAATACAGAGATTCTAAAATAGTTTTAATTCAATGAAACACAAGTGCTGACCAACTTCCAAACATCAGATATTTCTTGGAAAATTCTTCTTTTCAGTACCTCCTTGCAGAAAAACTGTATTCATTAATTGTAATTTTTTTTAAACTTTTTAAATATATTATATTAATAATTTTTCTTCCTACCATTTTTTTTTTTTTTTTATTCAATATAAACAGTTACCTGTTGATGAAATCCAAGAACAGGCTTATTAGGACAAGTTACTTTATTAGTCCTTTTTTTTTTTTTACAGTTTCTAATATTTTTTATTTGAGGAATATGGAAGTGGTTAGGCAGTGTTTCATTCTATGCTAAAATGGGAGATTACTCTTGACAAATTCACAAAATATGTGCAAAAATATTCTGAGCTCACAATTGTTTAAAGAAAATGATAGTTTCTAATTTAAAAAGTGAAATTCATAAATTATTGTTAGCAAAAACTTGTTGAAGACAGTTTATGCAGAATCACAGGAGTTGATGGTACTGGAACTACAGGACGCCCAAAATTTTGCATAATTTTATCTCACCCAGTGGGAAACAAAAAATATTTAAAATTATTAAAAAAAAAATAACGAAAGTTTTAAGAACTGTATTTTTTTTTAGTATTTTGTAAGTTTAAAAGTGTAGCCTCCAAATTTACAGTCATCAAACGAAAGATCGCTGGTTGCCGATTTGAGTTACTTTGGAGATAAAACAACTTCATAATATTCACTGTTGTTGTTCTATTTATTTTTTTAATGAAGAAAGTTCTTGAAAATTAACTAATTTAACAGTTATTCTGTTAAAGTACATTAAAAAAATGTAATTAAATGATAAATGTTCTTGACAAAGATATGAACCTACTTTTTTTTTCCTTATGAATTAAAAATTAAGTCTGGGCTCTGGATATCAGCTAGTCGAGAAGGAGGACAGATTTAAATTCAAAACTGGAGAAAATAATGTGGGAGAAATCCACTTCAATATTTTTTTTCTCAAGAAGTCATTGCAATTCTCCAATTCACAAATATTAAAGAAAAGCAAGCAGATAGCCATAACCTACATCCTGAGGGGACATGGCATTTAAAAGGTAATTCTGAAAAATGAGATTTAAGAGATTGACCAGACATTCTATATATTCTAGCACAGTGGTCCTCAACCTTTTTGACCCAATGCCTCCTTTTTCTTTTCACCATGTGTCAGAATGCCATCCCCACCTTTCCAAGATTGTTCGATCCAAAAGGTGAATTCCAAATAATATGCATTAAATCTTAATTCTTTTCCATTAGTTATACATAGATTATTTTTAATTTTAGAATTTTTTTTTTATTTTTGGCTCATGATGGGCTCCAAATTCTGTAAAAAAAGAAAAAAGTAAGAGATCCCTTCCTGGGTTGACCCCAACCCTGGGTGAGAACCACTCTTCCAGCATAACTTATTTCTTGTTAATTTAAAAATCAAATCTTTTTACTTTTAGTTACTATTTGTTTTTACAATGTGCGCATTTTTAAACTTAACAAGTGTAACTACCAGTTTTGAAGATTAAAAAAAAAAAAAAATAATAACCACATTGTGGACAAAAAATCGATTTGGTAAACTAAAAATATTAAACAATTGAAAGTAAAAACTATTTCCATTTTCAAAACTCAAAATTCATTGTTAAATTTTCAAGTGCTTGATTACGAACAAGTTTGCTGTGAATATATTGGTGGTAGAACGTTACATTAAATACAAACAGAATGATTTTTAAAAAGCTGTTTTTCGTTCTTGTTAAGAAATTCGCCCATGAAGTCCTTCATTGTTTTTAGGGACACAATAAAAACTGAATAAAAAAAAAAGAAAAAGAAAAGAGAAACCTTTTTATTTGTCAACAAATTTGTACTAAGAAGAAAAAAAAGGGATTTTTATGAAATTTTAGATGTTAATAAATATTTTATGAAGTATGATCACTGTCGGTAATGAGCCTCGGTTGCTTTTAGTAAAAAAAATGGGGTAATTTGCAAAATTAAAATCAAAATTTAAATCGAAAAATGTCACGTAAAAAAAGAAACGGAAACTTCACTGTCACAATGTGCTTTTAGAACTATCTCATGAAAAAAAAAAAAATGAAAAATTGAAATATGCGATATCTAACATTTCAAACATCGTATGTTTTACTTTTAAAAGACTTAACTTTTTTTTTTGCAGGGGTGAAAGACAGATCTGTTGAGGTACAGGGTTCTTTTAAACCGAAATTATTAACAAAAGAAAATAAAAAGTGGTTAAGTCAAATTTAATAAATTCTGGGATGTAGTAATTTTTGTTTATTACCAAATTTTGTTTTTTAAATAACCTTTTTATTATTTAAAAAGGAAAAAATATCAAAATGCTTTCAAAGGGTCAAATAAATTGCTGTCATCAGGTCAGATAAGAAAAACTTTAGTTTTTTAAAAGTTGTTTGCTTTTTCTGACGAAGTAATGTCAGTTTTTGACAAAGAAATTGTTATATTTTTACTAATAATTTTTAATTTACCTCCTCTTACAGTGGACAGACCGTCGTGTAAGGAATGATATTAACTGTGAGCAGAACATGTTTAAAAATACAAATCCAGAATAGAGCGACAGTATTCTCCGTTAATAACACATGTGCCGGACAAGGTCGTCCGGGTAGCAACTCCGCACTAAAATTATTCTGAAATGCTGATTAGCAAAATTTGAAATAGATTAAAACTAATTTTTTTAAGAATATATAATTATTATTTATAGTATAGAATTGTATTAAAAATTTAATCTGTTTTTTTTTCGCTAATTTTAGAAAAATTGTAATTTTTTTATTTAATAAAAAAATGGAATTGTAATTGTTTAGTTTACTTGTAAAAAATGAAATTCAATCGGAGTATAAGGAAAAAAAAAGTTAGACATGTTCGGCTCAAGGGCGTTGTCTCACCCATCAGGCAGCATCATTCCTATTTTTTTTTTTTTTTTTTTAGAAGAAGGAGCAGAGCTATGGCCATTTATTTGATGTTTAGTTTTAGACACCCCAATCGTGAAAATGCCGAAGGAGCTTGCTTGATCAATTTTTTTTGTCCCTGTGTACACGTGGGGGACTCACACTATTTTTGATCTTTTGCCAATTCGAGTTGGCGTGCAGATAAATACCTAACTTTTATTTACGATTTACATTTTACAATGTTTGAGTTTGCTGTTAATAGTCAGTCCCCCCCCCCCACTTCGGGAGGGGGCTGGGGCCATTACCCGGCACCTGAAGCGTCTCCAAATGGGAAAGTGCCGAAGGGGCTTGTTGAGCAATTTCCACACTGTATTTGCTGTGGGAAAACCCACTTTAAATCTCGATATTGTGTCGAATTCGGTAGCGACGAGTGGGCGCTGAAAAATGCATAGTCAATGATTCTTTTTACATCACTCAAAAGTAGAAATTGGAGGAAAACAAAGAAATTTTAAAGATTTGGCGTAGACTACCTAAAAAGGGACTGGTCCACTCTTAAAAAAAAAAAAAAAAAAAAAAAAAGGTATTTTCTGGGGGGGGGATAATTTTCGTAGATTAGCATTTCCATTTAGGCTGTGACATTTAGTCAAATTAAAAGACATTTTTGATATAAAATATTTAGGGAGTACAAAAAGAATTAACGAACAAACAGATATATGTAAAAAAATTTAAGTTAAGAACAAAAATTTACATAAATTTATAAAAGTATACTATATTTCTGTTTATTCTTAATTTTTAAGATAAATAATTATAATTATATCAAGTGTCACGGGGAAGGAAAGTTTAAATAATGAAAATTTGCATAAATTTATTTCCCCCAAATTTCCTTTTTTTTTTATTGACCAACATCACCCATTTCTCCTTCGGCCTTGTGCCACAATTGTATTTTTCTACAATAAATACTGACTAGAAAGAAACGGTAAAAAAAGTAAAACCTTATCATTTGTTGCTATGGGCAATGATCCTTCTTGGAAAAACTTTTAGCACCACAAATACAAACGAAATCTTTGTTGCAAGTGTGAAATTTTTTTCTTTTTAAAGATTTTTGGTGAAAGCTAACAGAACTGATTAATTTGTTAATTTTTAATTACCAACTTAAATATGATGAGATAATTGCAGAACAAATTAATTTTAAAAAAATAACGAAAATGTCTAAAACAAGATATTTTCTTTTCTAGTTGATGACTGAAAGAAATAAAATAAAAATTTAATTTTATTAAGAAAGTAAGTTTGATTTTTGATTTTAAAAAAAAAAATCAAATCCAACTTGCTTTTTTTATGATTATTTAACTTTTAACCAGTGACTTTCCAACATATAAATTTTAAGTTTTTTTTTTTTTTTACTAAAAAAACAAAACTCAAACAAAAAGTTTCTATATTCAGCTTCCTTAAAATTTAAAAATAAAATAAAAATAAATTTGATTGATGAAATGAAATGTTTTGCATTTTGGTTTAATTTTCAAACTAATTTTAATTTTCTCATGTTTTTTTTTTTCATGTTAGACAACAAGATTATTTTAAAATTTCATGTTATTGTTAATGTTATTGTTAAGTAACGTATTTTATTTTTAACATTGCCCTACAGAAAAAAATATATGAATTGAAAACATAAAGCATCAAATGAACAATTAATTCTCTACACTTTAGGAAAATTTCTAAATCATAACAACTCTCATGTGGGCACCCAGTGAGGATCAAATTTAAATTTACAACATAAACGAAATTTCTAACCCTGATTCAGCAGCTGTTTTTCCCCAGTCGTTTTATATTTTGAAAAATAATTTACTAAATTTCTAATTACAAGCATTACTGAAAGTAACTGATGACAGCATGGTGCCTCCATAAATATTGTTACAATATTTTCTGTCCAAGATATTCTCTCATTTCTACCCACTTACTTCCTTTTACTTTCTTACAAAATGGAAAAAAACAAAAATATTCATTTTTTTAAATTTAAATTTTTTGTTTATTGAAAAAGTATTTGAAAAAAAAATTCAAATTGGGAATCTTGCATTTGCGTTATCCGCTGTTGAGACAATGTCAACAGGTCTGGAATCTGGATCATTCAAAGGATTTGGAAAAATTTAAACAAATTTATATTGAAAAGCTTTTGGTTAGAAATGATTGAAAGGTAAATTATGTGGCTTTGTTTGGTAAATTGGATTTGAGCTTCTGCTTATTACTTCGTTTCATTGGCAAAACTGAGTTTATCTTACTTAGCCTTTTTTTGGTACCCGCATGGTTTTTTTTTTTTTTTTTTTTAACAGATTCAGTTCATAAAATTACTCATGTTGAAAAAATTAACTCAGATTTTTTCTCCAATTGGGATAAATTAATATTTTCAGTTCCTTTTAGTCTTTTATATAGATAATTCTTGCAGATATACAGGTAGGTTAGAATTAAAGTGGAAATTCTTTACTGATTTTTTTTTTTTTTTGTAAATGTGTAAAATTTAATTTTTCTTGATTTCTAAATGATAGTATTGTTCATGAAACATATATATATATAATCGTTTTTAGTTGATATCGATTTCGAGAAAAGATTGAAAGGCCACTAATCCGGGTACCTATTATACTTTGTGGACCGACTTGTACTATACTGCTTTGCTTTTGTAAGGAGTGCGCATGCCCAGGAAAGAAAGGTTCCTCACCGTCGCTATGGAATGGCGGCTGCTTTCAAACATCCTATTCTGTGGCAAAATGAGAATTTTCACAGGAGGCTGTTTGTAGAGAAAAATAAAATATGCCTGACAAAGAAGAAAGGTTCTTAATTGTAGTCTCCATTTTGGGAGGTAATCTATTTTTGTTCTAATTGTCTCTTTTTTTTTCTTTTAATTAACCGTGTGTTTTTAAATACGAAAACATTAAAAAAAACAAAAAAAAAACTTTGACATGTTTTTTCTCTACAGCTGTTTTCATGTCTAGTCTCGTTTTTTCAAAACGTTTGCAGCTAAACAAAATCTAATTTTCTAATCAAGATTTTATCGTGATATTAAAATTGTTTTAAGTTGATTTTTTTAAAGTGACAATATCTTGTTGATTTGTTTTCCAGTTTCTTAAATAAATAAACCGAACGGAGTTTAAAATTTCAAATTTCATGGTAAAAAAATAAAATTAAAAAAAACGCATGTTCCTTATTAGTTTTTAGTTTTGTTTATCTTCAAATTTTATATAAAATACATTGATTATAAACAGTTGGGATATTAATTTTTAGTCATATGTGAATAAAGTTTAACAAAATCCGTAAGTTTACTTTCTGTGGGAGAAAAAAGGCATGAAAACATTTTTTTCTATCTGATCCAAACTAAACAAAATTTAGTAAAAATTCCATGAGGTTTGTTGTTCTTGTAAAAAAACAGTTGAGGAAACTGTTTTAAAAATGCACTCAACTCAACAAGTGAATGAATTAAAATGTTTGAGTATGTGTGTGAAGAAAATCATTATTTACAATTTCTATCTCATTTTTTTTTTTATTTTCGTTCTTCTATCGTTTTTTACATTTTTAAAAATTGAATTGTTTTCTGAAGTTCCATAAAAAAACGTTTTTACATCAAAATTTAATTGTTATTTTCGAATTTAGCATGTAAATTTACACGGAAATATAACGATTTGGGAAATTTTAAATAGATATTTATCGCGGGGCTTAAAAAGCAAATTACCCTTGAAAGGCAAACGAAATATAATTTTAAGATTTTATTCATTTTGTTTTAATTTCTCATTTGTGACCTCATATTGCAACTAATGCTCTTTGGTTTTCTAAAATATTGTCGTGTTTACAAGGAACGTTCAGAATATGAGACAAAAAAAAAGGATATGTAAGCGAAATAAATCCTCGTTTGGTATGTAGAATTTGAAACGTTGAACTTAGTTATTTTTAAATTTATTTTATCGCCAAAAATGGTTGGTAGGTAACTGCATTCAGTAAGTTTTTGTTTCACTAGTGAAGAAATGAAAAAAGTTTTTCAATTATATTTTAAAACATCGTAAAGTATAAAAATGTTTTCGTAAAAGTGAAGCTAAACTGGCTCTGAAAGCAAGCTCTTTAAAATTCTTTTAATAGCAAGTCAGAAAAAAATGTAACTCAACAAAATCAAATGCATTTTTCTCTTTAATAAGGTTCACTTGTATTTCAGTTTATAAAATCTCATTTATTGTAAAATAAATTTCCTAAAATGATTTTTAATTTCGTCATAATGCACATTTCTCTTTTTCCCCTCTATTCAATTGTGTGCTAATATTTAATGTAAATAAAATTCCTCCTCCTCCATACCATTACTTTCCTGTAAAATATAGGGACTACATAGCAGGTTTGTATAGGTTGGATTTTCTAGTACCATGTTCAACCAATTTTTTTATTTAGTTATACTTCTCCTAGATTGGTTGACAGTCAAGATTAGAGAGGCCATCCAGGCCTGCTATTTAATCCATAATTGGGTCAGGGGAAGAGATTGGGTTGTAACTTACACAAGGTATTTTTGCAAAAGTGAATGCAATGAATTTGGACAGAATTTGAACTCTGCACATCAATTCAACTTTTTGCACAAATAACTGCTACACTCTCTGCACATTCACAAGAAATTGATACAAATTTGAGAAAATATTTTGACCCTAGCAATGCAAAGTAATTTTGTTTATAGAAAATAGCACAATATCACTGAGATGAGTGTTGTAGTTATCTGCAGTAGTAACTATTATTTCATTAAATATTGGTGCATGTCGCACTTGAAAATTAAAAAAAAAAACATACTTTCCTTTTTACTTGTCTTTTTTTTTTATTTTAAAATCTTTGGATATATTTACAAACTAGCTTAAAAGCTGCCCTATCAGGAAGCATTTAAGCTAGCTCCTACAGAGGGCTCTTGATTGGGCCTTCATCCCAATATGTAGGGAGGAGTAGATGCAACAATAAACTACAGAAGAACTCAAAATTGATCACTGCATTTAAGTATTGCATTAATATTTAAATTTACGTTTTAAAAGTTCAACGATAATTCTTCTGCTGCTACTTAATTTAAAGATAATTTGATGTACATAGGTCCTTACTTTCCGTTTCAAACAATTATTTTTATTTCATGGGCGACTTTCACTGGATTTTGCAATTAGTTTCGATTATTCACAAATTTATTTACAAGTTATAAAAATTTTTTCATAAAAAAAAAATCGCCGAAAACAATTGCAGAAATGAAAACTTGGGAATCCAAAATTTCAAGATTGTGGGTTCGGATCTGGCCTGCAATGTTTTTAATTTGCTCATAGCCTGATTCCAAAATGGTATGATATGTTGAGCTATGGCCTCTAAGAGTAAAGTTGGAAAAGTGTGACACACTGATATTTGTATTTATTATATAGAAGAGTATTTTGGATTGCAAAATGGCTTAACAGAATAGTGAAAAGTACTGTGATTTTGCATGGTATTTGTTCCACTCTTATCTAAGGTGATACCTACAACTGTTTAGTAGGTAAAAATATAAAAATAATTCAGTTTGAAATACAGCCAAGTAATTTGCTTAATGGAAATATTAGATTTAATCAATTAGCTTGGAATTAAAGGTAAAATAAAAGCTTCAAGATAGATTTTTTTTTTTTTTTCTTTTTTTTTAATTTTAAATCTTAGACATCGCTTTTTTCTTTTTAAGTATCACCTTGTTATTATCACAAGGAAAAGTAATATTAAAGTAAACCAAATTTGTCTGTTTACTATTTTTACAATCTTTTTATTGTTTTTTCACTGCTACAGCATTACACATTATCCTTACACTTGTACATTTATAGCCTGAATATTAAAATAAGACTAGTGGTTCTTATTATGCATACAGTTTAGCATTTGTCAGAAATTACTTCAGCTAAGGTAATTTTATTTTACTTTTTTCATTTTGGGGTTGGAATTTTAGATTATGTAATGTATAATGTCAGTTAAAAGATGCATATTAAAGTAAGTTTATCAAATCTTTATCTTAATTGTAATTTTATTTTATTTTAAGGCCGAAGTTTTCCCAAAAGACCACAGCATAAATTGATAATTGATACCAAATTTGATGGTGAACTGTTGTCCACTGATCCTGTTGATCACACAGAACGTCCCAATGTAACACAGGAGTTGGCATGGCAACTAGATAAGAAAGGTTTGCAGCAACATCGGTTGCACAGGAGTTCAATTAAGGTGCAGTGCTATGCATATGATACCATCAGTACCATGAAGGAAATGATTGGTTATGCAGTACTGGATTTGCGGTCAGCCACAATGAAACAGGTAAAGAAATTTACATCAATTCTGTAGATCTCCAAATTTTGTGGTTTGAAAGTACGAATATTATTTTATGGTCTTGTAAGTTCTTCAACTCTTTATAACTTTAAGTTGACCACATGAACATTTTTAAGTTCATCAAATAAAAAATCTATTATTTGTATATTTAAAAACTATTATTTTAAGCTGAGAGAGATCTACTTATTTGTATGCAAATTATTGCTGGATAATAAAATGAATAAACTCAGAAGTTACAATTGTTTAAATTTGAATATCTTGAATGTCTAAAGGTGTAACTTGCATTTTGTGTGTGCTTTCTCTGTTTCAACTTTAGTTACTGTTCACTGTAGCATGTGAACAGGAACTTTTCGGGCTTATAAATGCATGTGTTGACTGCTTTCTTTAAGCCGAATACTTGCCTTGTATCTCCTTAATAATCACACATCCACTTCTACAGATTCCATGGAATTTATCAGCTTTGATGTATCCACTCTTAATATGTCAATTCCTAAAAGACTGTGGCTTTTGATGTTTTCCACCATTATGATGGGTACTATCTTGAATCTATTTTTGTCTCAAATGTGCCTTCAAAGCATCCTAAAATTTTGATGATTGACTCCTTGAACTGTTTCAACAGGAGATTTTTTAACTTTGGTCTACCCATTCTTACCCAAACATTACTTGGTATCAATGTAACATCACTTTCAGTATTCACCTACATGAGTAAAGTTACTGTTCAACTTCACTGTTACCCTACTTTTATCCCAAATACTTCTGTACTTTCAATCGGAGGATCTATATTTTCTATATGTGCATACCCTCTGAAAATGATTCCTCTTTTTACACTTAAAACACCATTTCCCAAAGGCCAGACAATTATTTTTTGTTCTTTTCATGTTCCTTATTTGCAATATCTGTATACAATTAAGCTTTTAGTAGCACTGTAAGTCTGCATGCTGCCTTTGGAGGCATTAAATTTTTGAACCAATTCCAATTGTAAGAACTCCAGATTCATATTATGAGCCTGAAGCTGTTCTAGAATTTTACACTTGTATGAGATGTCAAACATTCCTTCAATCAGTCTGAGCAAAATTAGCTTGTCTTTGATAGACATTTGTTCCGAACCCATTCTTTCAAACACGATATCTCTATGCATCTTTCAATCGCTGTACATATTGCATAATAGTTTCGTCCGGTCTCTGTCTATTTTCAAGAAATTTAGTTCTTTCTACTATGACCAATCTTTTCTTTGGTTGTATATTTGTTTTTATGATGCTAGAAATTTCTTCATGTGCTAAATCTTCCAACACTTTAGGATAGATCATGATGGAGATATTTTTATGACCTCACACCCCGCTGAGGCCAACAACAAATTCATAACTTCATTTTCTCCTCCACTAGTTTTGGGGGTCCTTTAAACTTTTTTACTCTTGCTGATGTGGGGAAACACTTAAGCCAGATTTCCACATACTCAGAATCCCCCATTGTACTTAAGTAACCGATTGGCAATGCCATATTGTTATGATAGGTATTCTCTCTGACAGATGTAGTCAAGAGATATCTTTCCTATAGGTATAGCAATACTGCCTTTTATACAGTACTTCATATATATATATATATATATATATATATCAATACAACAAGAAAACATGTATTTTATGAACATCCATGGCATATCTTATTTTATGTTTTTTTTTTTTGTTTTTTACAAATATTTAAAATTTTTGTCTGTTTAGAATTACCCCATAAGAATGTATTAAAGGATTTTCTATGAATTTGATAACCAGAAATGGAAAGTTGCTTCATTTATGCAAACTCTAGCTTTCTAGGGGAAAAGAATTTTTGATTTATTTTAAAATTTTGTTTATGAAGGTAAGTATGGTGTCAAAAGTATTTTAAATAATCTGTATAAAATAGAAGGATTAAAACATTTTAACAACTTTTACAAATTTTATATTACTTTAAATAAACCTATTAAAATTAGTAAACCTTTTCAAGAAGAAAACAAAGAAAAAATACATATAGCATATCTGTTCTGACAATGGGGATTACAAAAAATACATAGGACAACTACTTAATCACTTTCTCAATAGTAATTTTCCCCTTGAAACTATAAAAGAAAAATCAATCGCTAAGACTTTCAAACACAATAGAAATACTCTTCTAACCTACAAAACAAATAAAAATTCCAGAGTTTCCATGATTTTTGATTTCAAATACTATATTCACCAACTATTTCATATCTTACTAAAAGATTTCCAGTACATAAAACTTGATCACACAATATATATATATATATATATATATATATATATATATATATATATATATTCATTCACAGACAGTGCTGTTTCACTGTATCATAGCTCTTCATTGTGACTAGACGTTCGAAAGCTTCAAGCCAGGATTGAAACCTGACCGATTTGGTGTCAGCCGAAGTTTCTACCCCTAAACCATTAGTACTCTGCAGAGAGAAACTACTAATTCTAGTGTATTTTACGAATGTAAACAAATGCCAGTCAGCCAATATTCATTTTACTGAAGAGCTTTGCATTTAAGTATAGGTGGCTGCTGTTTGTAGAATTAGGCTGTCTCTAAAGAGTGCTCAATTGAAATATATTATCAAGAGCTTCTACTGAAGATTGTACATTTAAGCATGAAACAGACTATTGCTGTTGGATGTTGACCTCAATGTCCACTTCTGTATTTACATACTGTATTCCTGATATTGACCACTTTAACTTATAAATATAGACTATATATATATATATATATATATATATATATGTGATTTAAAAAAAAAAAAAAGATTTATTAAATTTTCCAAATGCGTAAATCTGTTCATTAAACTTTAAAAATAACTGAAAAAATACTTTTTGGAACATGTTAAAAAAAATCTAACATCAATTTATTTTTTTCTTAAAAATAAATAAGAATTGATTTTTGACTTGCATTTTTATATTTACCAGCTGTACTCGATAAAAGATTCAAAATGAAATGTATCTTGACGTTGATTGTTTGAACTCTGGGGAACTAGTTTTTCCTTTTATTAATTACTTCAACATTCTGTTGCTGTAGGTTTTGTTCATAGTTTTTGTTAAATGAATATTTTTTTTATTTCCTATAGCACACAATTAAAAAATATTGATTCTGAATATTGCTGATAAATCATGTTTTTATTTTTATACCCACTACCTAAAATAAATATATCAACTATAATTTCAAGAAATCTAAGAGTTGTAAACAAATATGTTGTTTAAAATCAAAAAGAATCACCATCATTAGAGCCTCTGTTTTTTTTTTTTTTTTTTTTTTTTTTTTTTTGATGCAAATTTTGAGACCTGCCACTAATAGTTATAATGCAAGAAGCTGTCTGTCATTTCAATTTGATTGTGTTGACATCTTTTGTGTACTTGAGTGTAACTGTAAAAAATGAGTGAAGCATCTTGTGTTACATTGTAATATTTTGGTTACTTTTTGTTTTTAATTCATTGATTTATTTATAGACATCCAAATGGTATCCTCTTCTTCATTCCAAATATACAAGACATAAAGCAGAGATCCAACTTGGTCTTTACCTTGACCATGACACTGGGGATGAAGTTGGAAAGAAACTTGAAGACTTGGCTGGTCAGTTGAATACTTTATCTTTTTTCTCTCCCATATATTGCAACAGTGCTTCCATGGTTTCTGAGTTTGTGTATGTTTTTTTTTTTTTTTTTTTGTTACACAAATAATTTCATAAACATTATTAGATGCAACATGTACCCAAGGAAGATCAAAGAATATATTATGCAGAATGTTAAAAACAACAAAAAATATTTGAGAAAACAAATGTAATAAGCTCTATCTTGTTTCATCTTCTGTGAAATACCTGCACTGCATGAATTGCTAAGCTCTACTTAAAAATTTAACTGGGCTCCTTCATTGACAGGTTGTAATTATGTTCAAATTTCTTAATGTTATCAATTGACTTGGCCACAACAATTGTGAGGTAGAAATACACACAATTGATTTCCAGTTGTACCTTTTTTTTTTATAATTCAAATTTTGTATTTATTTAGAGATAATTTTTTAAAATATCAATCTACATTTATTAAATTAACTAGCATCTATATTCTTTCACTATTTATATTAAGTTTTGTTGAAATAATCTTGAAATTGTAATATTTTCTTTAATACCAGGTGTTAGTATAAAACATCCAAATCTGTTGTGTCCAGTTCTAAATGAATCTGGAGGCTATTATCAAATTGGCCCTCCTGATGTTTGCAAAGACATTTTCATTTTGTCTGTGACAATAGGATATGCCACTAATCTTGCTCAGGTGAGATATTTTTTATTTTCCCAGTTTATAATTAAAAAAATTGGTGCATTAAATTGTTGTTAGGTTCAAATCCAGTAAAAGTTGAGACTTGAAATGACAGATGTGGTTCCACCAACAAATGCTAAGAATACCTTGGATGCAATATGAGAGCAATGAGGAAGTTTTAAGAGAGATAGGAACTACAAGAACAAAACTATTAACGATTAGAAAGAGGATGCTTACATTTCTGGGACATGTAATGAAAAAAATAAAAAAGGCTTGGAAAATTTAACAGTTATGGGAAATATTGAGGGTAAGAGAACTAAAGGGAAACATTGAGTAAACAACTTTTAGTGAATGGATGGCAGAGCAAGGACAATAGGGGTAGTAAAGGTGAAAGAGTGACTTAGAGCAACAAAAGACAGGAAGTTGTGGAGAGCCATGATCATTCATATTCTGAAAAGACATGGGATATAAAAATAGTAAATGCAAATTCATTAATTAATGAATAATAGCCTCAAGTATTAAAGCATTAGTTTGTGAATTTAATGACATAGTAAATGATAGGTGAATCCCTGGTTCAGGTGTAGTACTGACTTAGATTCAGTGGAAACAAGATGAGATATCCCTAGTCATGATCAGCAGAATGAGAACAATCTACTACCATAGATTAAATAAAGAGTTCAGTTTCAAATTCCTTGAATATTACCTGATAAAGGTCAGAGGGCACAATGTCAGAAATGTTGTTATAATAATAGAGAACAGCAGTCTGAATGTAAATAATAATTCCTCACCCCAGATATTCAAACAGAAATTATACTGCATTATTAGTAGTATTAGTTATCTTTTTGAGTTAGAAATCTTTTATACATTTTCTTTTTAGAAGCATTTTATGAACCAAGTTTGATAACATTTGATGATCTTGTATTATTTTTTGGAACTTCAATTTGTAAAATGTTGTTTCAACTGTACTACCAAAGAAGAACAGTAAGCTTTAAGAATTTTTAATGAAATACAATACTTTTAAAGAAATTAGAAGAATATTTTTAATAATGTTTGTTTTTTTTTTTTTTTTTTTTTTTTGTTAAAATGCTTTTGTACATCCAGGTTTTACTAAAGATATTTTATTTTACTGAAATATTTAGTGTTGGATATTATTTGAATTGGTAAAATAATCCACAAAATGAATGCAAAATTACTTGTTCAACTTTTAATATTAAGCTGTATTCGTTTTTGTTTAGATATTTTCATAAAACATTAAATATGGATCGAAAGGAAATTTTAAGTATTGCTGAAAAATACAATCCCTGATTACTGATATTATTAATGGTTTAGTGGATATGGATCATTTTTTCTCCTTCATCAAAGAAAAATTAATTTTGAAGCAAATTCCTGCAGGGGCTATTTTGAATATTTGTATGTATCATAAAAGCTCTACAGATCAAGTATGTACATATTGAGTGAGAAGAAAAAGTTGTTGATAAATGCACTCTTATTTTGATTGGCACAGTTCTTGTCGAAAAGCATCTGTATTTATCTTTTTTTCTTTTTTTTTGTTTTGTTTTCCAAAAAATTGCAAGAAAAGAATCTGCTTCTTGAATATTTTTGATGTGTTTCATTATTCTCAGCTTATCCCAGGTTCCACACCTCTGCCTGACAGTTCAGCTGGATACCATTTCTACTATTCTCTCTTTGGCAACAATGTAACCAACGAATCCTTCTCAAATCTCATCAGGCCAGAATTTGCACCCGAAAGAGCATCTGTGAAGATCCGAAGTAGCCTTCAAGTTCTGTCAGTCTTTCTTTCCAAACAACCTGGCATCCAGGTGGGACCAGCACTCTTTGTTGTTGAATTTTTTGTATAGACAAAAATCATTTCTTGTCATAATTTTCTCTCTCTCAAAATGAAGAAATTTTTTAAAGAAAACAAACCTTGTATCATATTCATCTCCTTTCCTTCCAAAACAGCTCACATAATTCATACAAAACTTTGTTTATTACTATAAGTGGATTCTTTTTCTATAATGTATGTCTCTTATTGTTGTTACTTTTTAGGATATTTCAAAATATTTCCTATAAATCATCTGGCTTTTTGTAATATTGACAATTTCACTAATTTTCTGCTTTGTTAAAAAAAAAAAAATCAGTAGAAAAGATGTAGTTTGAAAACGCAACAAATATCTTTTACCTTTGTAATTTGTTCATCCATATTAACTTTTGCTTCTAGATCCACTTGTGTTGCAAAGATGTCTCTTTGGGTCGTTGTGAAGTTCCTTTAAACACTTTATTACAAGATGGCAGCACTGAAATTTACATGCAACCAGTTGTCTTGGATGGGACTTATCAAGTATGATATCTCTCTCTTATATGTAAACATTATTTGTTTTATAAAGTAAAAATTTTTTTTTTTTTTTTTTTTTTCAAAAACAAAAAAAACATTTTGAATAATTTTTTCAAGATACCTTTCTCCCTTGGACTTGTGTAGAAAGATTTTAAGGTTGTCTTTTTTTGGATGCATAACTTTAATAATGCAGTCAAAAATACTTTTCTTGTCTTTTAACCACAATTAAATTTTGGAATTTTCTTATTGAAAGTTCATTTTGAAGATTGTGTTGCATGTTTGTGTGGGTAAAATAAGTTTTAAAACTTAATATGACTTTAAATTTTTGTTTTTAAATTTCATTTGATTTTAAAAAGGGTCTCTTAAATTTGATTACACATTCCCTTTTCAAAGGATTTTTATATATTTCTCCTGATGTCTCAATATTTACAACATTTCACCAAAAAAAATCCTGCATTATATTTTTAATGTTATAGTAACATCAAAAGAATTTTGTTAGATATAAAAAATGCATTCTAACTTGATTTTAAAAATCAAAAAATCTATTAGATTGAGAAGAATTGTATAATGTGTAAAATATAATTGAAATAAATGATTTGAGGAGTATGATCAAAGGAGATTTTAGATTTTTTTTTCTTTAAGAAATATGTAATGGTGCTGGCTGAAAACTTATATTTTTCTTAAGAAGTGCATGACTTAATGAAAAAAATAGTATATATTTTTGACAAGAAATATTTACTTTTCAACATCTTCTTTGTTAATGCACTTAATTCATTGGAGATTATTAATGATATCAATTGAACATTCTATGTTGAAAACTTTGATTCAAAATATGGTTTGTCAGGCTACAGACTTCTTTAAGAATTATCCTAATAAAATACATACATACATAATGTGAGAAAGAAAGCATTTATCTTCATTTAACATAGAACATTACTAGGTTGTTAATAGAATGCTTTTACAATAAAAACAATGGCTATATAAGCCATTGTTTTTATTGTAAAAGCATTCTAGGTTGTGTTAGGAGTAGTATCAGTAAGCAAAGGTGGCAGTGGGAGTAGAATAGTAGTCACCATGACACACACACACACACACACACACACACACACAACTAATATTTTGTCATTTTTTTCCTCCACTCAGATTTTACCACTAACTCCATCCAAAAATTCAGAAGGCTCATACCCAGTAGTTGGTGTTACTGTGGCACTCAGAAAAGAAGATGTGGTAAGTTTAATGATGACCAGATCAAGGCTTATTAAGGCTTATCTTCGTGTAATTTCATGAAACAGAAAAAAGTTTCAAATTATTTAATCTCGAATGTATTAACATGATTTAAACATTTTAGTCACTCAATATTGCAAATATTTTAAAAAATTTTTTAGGATTTTGAAGATTGTATAAATAAATAAAAAAAGTCTACATTTAAAACATTTCACAATCACTTTTTATTTTTTATACAAATTAATTAAAAGTGAGTAGGTGTAAATATTGCAATGAGTAAAACCTTCCAAGAAATTACCACCAATAAAACCAATTTGCTTTTGTATATTAACCGTCAAATTCATCTGTGTTTTCATTCTCTATTTTATGCTTATTGGTTTTCTGAAAAAGAATTTATTCTAGTAATAACTTCTGGCATTTATTTTTCATTTATTATTGTAGCCTGTTTACTTTGAACTTCTTTCTAGTTTGCAAAGCAATTAATGTTCTGGTTTAGTTGACTTTTTTTTTTGCAAAATGTCATGTTGAAGTAAGGATTTTTGTTCCTGTTTTGAAAATAGTTTAATTAAAAATAACTTTATTATAATTTGAGAAAGTTATAGGAGTTGCCTTGTCCTTTGAGAATCTGAAAAAGGTTGGTAAAATATCTTTATTTAGGGAAATGCTGATAAGAATAAACAAGCAGCTCCGCAATTGGTACCAGAAAAACTTGACCAAGAGGAGGGGGAAAAACCAAATGTGCCTAAGTCAGATAATATTGAATATTCCAACACATTTGAAGACAAAACTGGAGAAAGTATAAGCAGCATTACTGATCCAGGTAATGGTAAGTCTGAACATAATTTGATCAACCTTTTTTCTTTTTTATTTTAAAAGAAAAAAAAAAAATCCTAGATATGCAATATTACACATTTGAAAATTTAAATTGAAAAGATGAAGTATAATTTTTTTTTTATACTGCTTTGTTTTAAAGTGTACATTCATGTATGAGGTTTCTTTTATATAAAAAAAATATATTATTGCCCTAAATTAGCTAACAAGAATAAAATCATCTCACCCTCTGACTAAGTGGAGTAATTATAAACACGGATACATGCCATAAAAACGACAATGTTACTGACAGAAAACCTAGGAAAAATCAAACCTAACAATTATAAACAAGGATATTGAAATATTTTCAAAATCCTAAAAAAAAAGGAGTTAAAAGTAATAAAATAGGGTTACCTTACTTAGAATCCATCATACTCATATTATATAGTCTACAAAATATACATAAAATTAATATTCTAATGTGATCAATAGTCTCTGGAATTGGTAGTGCCGCTCACAAAAGGCTAGAGTTATTACAAAAATTCTTACTCCTCTACTTGGTGCTATCAGTCCAGCACATTTAAAGAATTCTAGTGACTTACTAAATCAAATCAAAGATATAGACATGGCAAACAAGGTTATGTCTAGTTTAGGTATTAAATCTCTATATACTAATATTCCCTTAATTTATTAGAAGAAACATCTAAAAAATATATAAATTTACCTTTTAACCTTTTAAATATTCTAAATTCAACAACAATTATTACAAAGAAAAATTTGAACTCCCTCTTTGTAGCTGTTTACCATGCCTATTTCTAGAATCTTTATAATTGGGCCCATTTCAATACATTCTCACAACCTTGAATATATCAATGATTTAATCATTTACTACAAAAGCATTGATATAAAAGATATTAAGTTCAACCAGGTTGAACCAATTATTGGATTTAATTTTGAAATAGAAGATAATTCACTACCTGTTTAAATGTTTTATTAATTAGATCCAGTAATCAATTAAAATTCAAAGTATATCAAAAATCAAGAAATAAGAATGACTACATACAATTTTATTTGCATCATGATAATAAAACTAAAACTGGTATAATAATGGGTTTTCCTCTCGGAGCTTTTAGAATATGCAGCCCTTGCAATATAGACAATGACAACTCATTCAAATCATTACAATACCCTATTTCATGCCTTCTGCAAAAAAAAAAAAAAAGCTAATGTATGTATTTACCTTAACACCTACATAATTATCATCATTTATTATATTTTGAATTATATGTATTCACTATTTTCTTTGGATAAATACACTTCATTTTTCTCACAATAATTTTATTTTTCCATTTGATTTCCTTCAACAAATTATCATATTTACATTTTAACATATTTTCTATGTACAAATCTTATTGATTTGGTCAGAGATATTTATTTTTAAATTTTACTGTTAGAAATTTTTCAAATTAACTCCAGTGTTTCTAAGTAGCAGAGCTGCCATTGTAACAATTTTTCCCTTAGGGTTTTTTTTATTTTATTATTTCTTTTCAGTTGTTTTGAGGACATATTGACAACAAAATAAAAATTTTAAACATCTAACTGGTTTTCACAAATTCTATCATACATATTTTTTTGAAAATTTCATATTGGTCATTTTATATAAATAGACTTCATATAAAACAAACAAATTTTAAAGATTAATTATTGAACATAATAGTTACCTTCTACAATAAGTTACCACCAGTCTTTTTTTCAATTTCTTTATTTTCAAGTGATTTAAGTTCACCACCCACATGTCCTGCAATGTGACACACAGGTTGCAGGTTGTTTACAGTTAGTGTATAGTGACTGCCAGAGACAGTAAACACAATGCAAGTAGTTCTCTCTTGGGGAAAGATGTTTTAAAAGTTAAGGTTGATTCAATAAAAATGTTTTATTTTTATTTTACAGAGAAGAAAGCACAAAATCCTGATGCACCCAGCATCCCGCCAAAAACGATCAGTCCACCAAAAGTCAATCCTCCTGTGAATGGTAAAATTTTTAAGACTTACACATCCACTCTCAAAAAATCGTTTGCATTTTATTTTATTAACGGGAGGCAACTGCTTTTTAAATTATTTTCTTTTATCTATTGTCTCCCTTTAATCATGGTTCCCCATAATTTAATAAATCCTTTGTAGCTATTTGCAATATTTTATTATTATACTGTGCTGCCATTCATTTGCATAAGATTGTTTTACCCGTTCCTTTGTAAAATACGAATAAGTTAATTAAAAACTATGTTTTAAAACTAAAAATGGAGACAATCTCAAAGAGCATAATTTGTAAATAATCAATAATCATACTTTTCAATTAAATATTAACTAAAAGTAATTTACTGGAGTTAACTTCACTCTTTTTATTGTACTTACTTTCTTTCATAGTTGGTTTAATTAGTATCCATATTTTTTTTTTTTACTCTGTATTTTATATGTAAACTTAAATTATGGGTGTTCTTTTGTTACTTAAATGTGAGAAAATAAAGATGATACACATGAGTTATAAAAAGTTTATTTTTGGCTGTTTAACCTACATACCTGCCAAAATGTGTCGAAAGGACTTTTTTTTTTCTTGACACCACTATTATTATATACTCCCACAGAAATGTTTATTTTAAAACATTGTTTAGAATATTAATAACAAAAAAATATTACAAACTATTTAGTTGTTAGATTATTTACAAGATTAATTTTCTATTTATAAGATTATAAAAATATACAAACAAGCTACAATGCAATATTTATTATTTACTATTTTATAAATAAATACAGGGTGGGATGGATAAATCGTCGTCTAAACTATGCAAAAATGAAAATAACACTGACATCTCATTTTAACATATATTTACCAAAATTACACAAAAATCTCTTTAAACACTAAAGAGTAAATTTATTTAATAAAATCGCCATTGGCTCCAACCACTGCCTCCAGATGTTTTTGAAATCTCCTGCAACTCTTCTGGACAGTCTCTTTGTTTAACTTGATGAATGCTTCCATAATCCTTGGTTTCAGTTCATCTTTGGTGTTACAAAGAGTTTTGTTGGTCTCTCACTCGACTGCACCCCAAACATGACAATCAAGGGAGTTGTAGCCTGGGGAGTTAGGTGGCCAGATATAAGGGGTGATGTGTTTGCAGAAATTGTCTGACAGTTATGACAGGGTTCTCCTGTTTATGTCATGGTGCAGAATCCTGTTGCCAGACATAGGGTCTTCCAGCAGTCACCCTCTTGACCCAGGGCAGAACTACCTCGACAAGGCGCTTGATGTAGGCCTCCGTGTTGAGTCTGAGGCTCTCATCAACAAATTTGGGATTTTTTTTTCTTATCAGAACAATCAGTGTGTTTTCTGAGCTAACTGTTTCTGAATCCTCTGTACTGTCCTCAGATTGATACCTGTTTGAAATGTTTGTATTGGAGCTTCCAGTATGATTGCCAAGCAGTATAGCATGCTGTTTCCAAATTTTTGGCAGAGTGAGTTGCATCATGGTGCTCTTTTTCTCACAGATGGTGCCCAACTATACTGTGCAGTTGACAAAAACAAACAACATGCATGCATGGAATTAAAAATATGAAATGGCAACAATTTACCCATCGCACCCTGTATGAAAAAAAAAATTTTTATTCATAAATTTATAGTTCACAGATGTTTATCTGTGAACTGTAGAACAAGAAAATTAAAATAAACACATGATTTTTCTGAGCATTATACATTTTCGTCTTTGATTATTTTATATCTCAAAATACTTTGTTGTAATTTTCAAATTCTTTTATAATTGTAATCTAGGATCAAGTATACCTAATCAATAGAAAATCCAAGGCTTGAAAGCTAGCAATTATAGGTTAATCATCTTCTCTTTTGGAAAACATAATTTTGAAAAATTTAAATTGTTGCTAATTTTTCTAAAAATTTGCATGATGCATGCCTAGAAAATCTGTAGATGGATGATCGGTTGTCAGCCAAGTGATGACTGATAGAGAAATTTTAAATGCCTGTAAATTGTGTTATTTAGAATGGTTGGCAAAACATTGGCTAATTGCCAATCAATTCAAATATTCAGATAATTTTATAATCTTGTAAATATAAAATTAATCTTGTGAATAAAAAATCTAAGTAAATATTTTTGCTTTTATTGAAATTATAAACATAGCTTTTTAAGATAATAAACATTTTTGAGGGAGAATACAGTAGTAGTGGTGTAAAGAGAAAAAAAACGTTCTTTTAACATGCTCTTTTTTTTTGTGAGTATGTAGGTTAAACATTACCATTTGTTTTTACTCGCCTATTAAATACATATATTTATACCGTCCATGTTTGAAATTATTAGTTGCAATGTTATTGTTATTAATGATTTATATTTCCAAAGATTGCACAAAAATTGTAATGCAGTCAGAAAACAAGTCTTCAAGTGTTTTAATGATATTGTTAAGCTAATCTCTTTGTAAGGATAATTGACTCTCAATGTGACATTAAAATGCTTGCTTGTACACTTATTTCTTTTTTGTAGAGACAGGTGAATTTTTCTTTAATACATAGTGTAGAATTTTAATATCAGGAATTCAAAACAATGTTCATATTATTTGAGTAAGCCTTGATGTAGGTTATAATTTTTTTTTCCTATTATTATAGTAAATGTTTCTGATTCCAAGTCAACTGGTGAGAGTTTAACCAAGAACCATGTTGCCATTCCTGCCCAACTTCACCATTTTACTTTCTCTATCGATTTGAACAGCATCACTGGCATTGAAGGGACAAACACAAAAAATATTTTTCTTAGGTAAGATTCTTCTAATTACTTCTGATTTCATTGGCATAGATCATTGGTTTGACAACTGAAAGGTCTGTAGTTTTATCTCTTGTGATACTTATGCTATGTATGAAAGAAAATACTTGTAAAATCTGTAATTGTTTTGTTGTGTAAATATTTCTTACACCATAGACAGTATTAACCCATTAACTGCCAAATTTTTTTAATGTGCATTTTTGGCCCAGACAGGTGTCTTAGGAGTTTATTTATTCCTTATGTTTAATTTCAGTAGTTACAATTGTTGTTTTTATAGAAAGTAGACCATCAAATATATATGTGTATAAAACATCAAAAAATAATATTGACTAGAAATAATAAAAAAAAATACTTTTTAAAATAGTCATTATTTTTCTACTCATGAAATGTAAAATTACGACAGAAAGTGTCTTCTTATGGCTAATGATAAAAACTTTAAAGGCTAAGTGTTGTAAAATATAACTCTGCAAATGCAATGTATGTAAGCAATTCAATGTAAATACAAGAAATAACATGTAGCGAGTTTAATTTTAACAGATCCCCAAATAGGGCTCATGGCAAGTAATGGGTTAATGATTATTATTTAAATAAAATAATTCTGTAGTTAGAGAATTAAGTTTATTATCAAGAGCCTTGGTAGTGTAATATCAAATCCCTTTTCTGTTTAAGATTAAAGTATTTAAAGTAGAATCTGTTTTTGATTTAAAATAAAATGAATCCTTTTTATGGCAAATGTTTTTATAGTTCTAGATTTCTGTCAGTTTAAAAACCTAATTTTGTTTCCTTTTCTATATAATTATCTTCAATTTATATTTGTTCAAAACCTCCAATTCCAGATATGTGTATCCATTCTTTGGGAGTGTGGCTCCCATCTTAACTCACCCCACTGTGGAGATCTCAAAAGGGGTGGAGGTTTTACTTCCGCATTCTTTTTGTGCATTTGACTTTGCTTGTTTGATTGACCAACTTCAGGAAACCTTCATTAGGTGAGTAGGCAGTTTTTTTTGTTTTTTTGTAAGGTTTGTAACTTTGTCTTCATAAATTACTATCAACATGGAGTAACAAATTCATATAATGGAAGATTGATTTCAATTTTTCCAGATTTATTTGGTCTGATTGCCCAAGAAATAAGTATAAATCAACTGGAAGGAAATAACTAGCAACTAATGTTTACCATTTATCAGTTTTTGGTAACATTTGTGACTTAAACCATTAATGCTCCCCCTCCCCCTACACAAAATATAGAACAATGGCTATCAGTGGGTTATAGATAGGAACATAATTAATACTAGAATGTTATTTTAATTAATCCTGGATTTTTCAATAGTCATTAAGGGGTTAGAATGGATCTTTTGGTTAAAGCTAATACAGTCAGATAATAATAATAAATTTTCAGTTCTTGCATAAAGAATTGATCTTTTAAATCATCTGATCAGTTCCATATTGATTTCATGAACATTTAGGTTGACTGTTATTGATGCACTTTAATATTTCTGGCAATGTAAAGTTTTCAAAAAAATTTTTTTGAAAAATGTTTTGATGCCTGTTTTTGATTATCTCAATATATTGATTTCAAGTTTTAAAAATCATAATGCCATAAAGGAATTGCAGTTTGTTTATTTAAAAAGAAATCTTGCCATATGATAAACCATTCATGAAATAGTTTTTGTCTTTCCATATTAAAGAATTTTACTCTTGTTGGAATGTTATTAATGATCAAATTTTTGGGCTTTATACATGAAAGTCACTTAAACTAATGGTGGATGAATTATAACTTTAATTATAACTTAGAATAGCTGAAATGTACTTTTTTTTTTTTTTTGTTACAAGAATGTTTACGCTGTACAAGACCTAAGATCCACTCAAGATAGAGGTTACAGAGTAAGTGGCACTGTTTATGGGGATATGTGGGGAAGATAACTGTTGATTGTAGACGTGATCAGGGAACCATTCTCTTGGGAGTCAGTTCCACAAAGCAGCAGTTCATGGGAAGAAGCTCCTTGAGTGGAATTTGCATCACACCTCTTTCTGGTGACTATTGAAGTCGCAACAAATATGGAATCTAGCTGAGGGATATTTGGTGAGGATATTATCAACTGTCTCATATTTCAGTTTTATTATTTTGAGGATGATACAGAGGGAAAATGAAAATAGTACTGTGGGCAGTGCCAGGTGGAAACACATATGGGATATTAGGGTCCTCGTTTTTGGGGTCTCTGCCATATGAGAAACTGTCCTTAATATGGGCCTTGTGGCTATGGTGATTTTTGATAGTCATATTTAACTATTAGAGAAAAATGAACTTGCAAAGCTATTTTTTTTCTTACCCAGCATTTGTAGAAGAAAATAATGAATTAAAAAAACACAAAATTAGCAAATTATTAAATTTAAATCTTCATACCTCACAAAAAAATGATCAACAAGATTGATCAGTTCATATGTTTTGAGTTAAATGTTTCGAGTTAACAACTGATAATATTTTACTCTGCCAAACAACTTTTTGTTGATGGGGTTTTGCACAACTGTTAATGTTTTTACTATCCTCCAATTTTTTTTTTTTTACTTTTCAGGTTTAATTGAAAAACTAGATTTTAATAAAATGACTTAAATTATTATAATCCAAATGCTTAAATTTAATTGATTAGTTAGATTGCAGTTTTGAAATGACTGTGTTGGCAACAAAAGGAATTTTTTTTTCCTTTTGCCCCAGGGTTCCATTATTTGTTGAAGTCTGGGAACGAGATCGAAGCCTTGCCAAAGATGTCCTTTTAGGAACTGGACGTCTTCCTTTGGCTCAAATTTTGGCTGCTGAGAAAACCCGGACAGTAGTGAGTATTGTGTTGTAGTCTTTATATTGGAACTAAAATTTTCTCTTGTAGAATTTCATTTGCTTTTTATAACTTTAGAACATTCTATAATGCAGATTTTCATTTGTACATTCATTTATTTTATTATAGAAAAATAATCATTACTTAGTTGATTACTTATTGATTAACTTACAATCTTGATTTAAAAATCCCCACAAAAAACAACCAAGCGTGATACACTTTTCTTTCATAAATATTTTTCTACCTTGACTCTATTGCTGTAAGATTTGCAATGGTATGGACTCTTTTCTGGCTTAATTCCAACCTTTTCTTTTTTATTCTCAGTACATAGTAGGGATATGTTCTTTTCTTTTTCTATGGTAAAACAAACAAAAAAAATATTTGCAAATAAATATGAAATTAAAAAAAAAAATTTGTTCCCTTTTCAGAACTCAACAAATGGGAGTGGCTGGCGACAAGTGTACAGAGATTCTGTTTTGGTGTCTAGTGTCAGTGGGTAAGAGCTCCCCCACCCCCTATAAAGGCAACTCTCATTATTTGTAACAAAAAGTATGCATATAAAAGTCTATTTCATAAACATTTTCCTATCTTGAATCAATCATTTTTTCTATGCCTAAAATTTGATTTTTTTTTTTTTTTTTTCTTGAAATGAGTTATTGTGAATGTCTTGTTTTACTTGTGCTATTGTTAGGTGTACTTGGAATTCTTACTTAAAACAAAAATGTTGATAACATCTTGCCATTTGTGTTTAGCAGATTTAACAATCATGTGCTAAATAGAAATTCTCTTTTCATCATATTGATGGTATTACATTTAAAAGAATGTTCCATCATTTGCAGGCAGGTATTTAAAGACTGAATTTGAATGGTAGGTGTTTTACTAATGAGAAAACCAGAAGTTAGCAATCCGATATCTCTTACCACAATAATCAATGAAGGTAAAGGTGAGATTAGCAGTTTCCTTATATGGAAACATTCAGCATTTATTAACCAAACAATTATTCTTACTGTTGGATTAAATTTTATAAAATCTTTCTCTCCAAAGAGTTTTTCAGGAAAATAGGTTTCTCAACTCCACTGTTATTGTTCTTTCTAGTTTTGGTGGTGACCTCATTCCTGACCTTTTTGTTTTGAAGTAGTGTGGAAAGTTAACATCTTCATTATGTCATTATTTTCTCTTTATGTTATGCATTTTAGTTTTTGCTGCTGTTGAAAGTCTTCAAGTGATCTGGTTTCTGTTATTTGGTAAATCTTTGTGATTCTGTAGTGCCAATCCATGAGATCTGATAAATGATACTCTTCTTTAAGCCCTCCAGGGTTCATTTACTCCAAACAATTTTTAATCATTGATCTGAGAAAATGGTTGTATGCAGCTGACAGTTGAGATATTTCTGAATAAGTTGGTCACCATGCATGACATCCATATGAGTCTGGATCTGATGAGGCTATGACTTGAGTTCTTAGATTAATGTTTTGGTTTTTTAGCATCTTGTGGTGTTTGACAAAACTTGCACAGCCTTCAATTTTCTTATCTCTGCTATTAAATTTGTTATAACTGATCCATACACAGGTAGTTGAACTGTTTAGTATTTACTAATTTCACATTCTGAATTTTTATAATGGATTCAAGGTTGGTGCCATAAGTCCTACTTCTTGCTTGGAACACTTGGTAGAGAGATTTTTTTTTTTAAATCCTTTTTTTCTTATCCCAACTATAGCACTGCCTACATCATCAGTACACTGGCCTTGAGAGAGAAAACAGGAATGTTGCTTTCTGTTAGTAGATTCATTTAGATGTTTAAATGAACCTCTTTTGTATATATATAATAAAAGACAGGATAATTGCTATGAAATATGTTTCTTAAGTGTCTCAGCTTCTGCATCACCAATAAACATTAATTTGAGGGAGACGTTCAAGTTACTCTATTTGTACCTGTTGAGAAATTCCCTTCTCTGTGATTGGATCAATGGATTTAGAATTAGAGAAAAATTGTAATATTTATAAAAAATAATGCAATTTTATTGGATTTTTTTGTTAAACAATTATTTGTGCAGTATAGTTACTCTGGTTTAAGATGTTTTGGAAATTAATCTGGGCCCTGGAGCTGTTGATACATCTTAATTGAAACCCAATTTTTTTTATTTTTTTATTTTTTTTTTTTATTTTTTAAACTCTCAAAAAGTATTATCCATATTGTAGAGGCTATTTTTCTGAGGGCAGCACCAGATACTCTTGCTAATTTATCCAGTTGATTTATTGTTACACAATAGTACAAGCATTTCTTAACCACAAAAACTTGTTTTTCTGATATGTTGTTTGATTTATTGACAGCCTGAGATTTGGAAATGTTAAGTATGGTGGAGCAGAAGTTAGATAAATTTACAAATTCTTAGTGAAAACTTTGTTTTTGAACTTTTTTTTAAGTACCTAGTAATTTTTAAAAATTAGCGAAATATTTTCAGCAATTTTCTAATAATTTATTGAATTTTAGGTACTTTATCTTTATAAACTCGCTTCAAATAAATACATAAAATAAATCTCAGCCCGCAAAAATTCCTGTTTTGCATCTTCCCATGACACCTTTTATCTGCATAGGTGAAATTTATAAATATTGAAGTTTGTTAATCCATCATTTAGAACAAAGATCTCAATCTGTGTGTGTGAAAAAAAAAAACAAAAAAATTTTGAATGATTTAAAAGTATTTGAATTTTCTCAGCAGAGAGTTTTCTTTTGTAATTTCAGGATACATGTTTGTCCAAATACATATGGGCTTATAATTGTTTGTAAAAATTATTTTCCTTCCTATGTTAGATTCGAAAGCATCTATAGTAAAAGGGCTTTTTTTTTTTTTTTTTGCATTTTCAGGACCAAATTTCTCTGAGATGAAAATAAATAGGAAGCAAAATAAACTGCCAACCAAACTATTGGTCTTTTTTTTTTTTTTTTTTTTTCAAAACAATGTTTCACTCATCAGTTTTGCAAAAAAAAAAAAAGAAAGTTTTCTTCATTCCATTTTAGCCCTAAATAAGATTTTATTTTGTAAGAAATTTCGATCTAGGTTGTTATAACTTGTAAAATCCAAGTTTAAATTTTCTTTTTGTATTAACCTTGTTACAACTGACTGTTAATTGTAGATATATACTTGTAAAATCCATGCTACTCAGTGTCATACAAAATAAATCTTATTTCTATCATATGAACGTGTCTATTAAAAAATTCTGGCTATATAATCTTCGTGATTGTTTGATCCTCACTGGGTGCCCCTAATTTTTTGCCTTGTGCCACATCTAAGCTACGCTTGGAAAATCATGATAATCTTGGTGATTAAAACTCATTTTGCATGTTTGCTATGCAGCTATAGTTAACTGGCAAAATCATTTTGATTGAAATTTGAACAAAATTTAAAAACGCAAATTCATGACAAGTGCTGGAACAATATTAAATGGCTTGTAAATAAAATAGTTTAAAAAATCTTTTAAAGAAATTTTAAGTGACAATCATGTTTGCATCGTGGAGAAAATTTACAAGATAGTGAAGATGAAAAATTAAGATTTATGCATTGTGAATAAATTTTTCCAAGTTTTGTAAAAAAAAAAAAAAAAAAAATAGGAAAATGAGACTAGAGCTTTTGTACATTGATATTGGAAAATAAGGAAAGAGAATATGAAAATCCTTCAGAAATTTGTGTTTATTTCAAGGGATATAATTTTTTTTTTCTTTTAGGAATTCTCAGAAAGTGGCTTCTATCTCTGTTGTGCTAACCATGGAAGATTGGGGCCCTATCCACGAACAAGAGATTTTGCTTAGCAATCATTCTTCTTCCTTACAGGTGAGAGAGAGAGAGAGACTTCATATTTTTACATATACATACATATATATATATATATATATATATATATACACACACACACACACACAATGATAATATTTGATAATTCCAAATAGGATATAAATCCAGAGAGCTCCATGTCAAAAAACGGAACAAATATTAATTAATTATAAAAACGAAGACTCAAAATCCGATGGTGATATTTATTTCATTAGAATCAAAAAATTTGATTCCAAGTCTTCGGGCCAAAGCCAAAGATTTGTGTGTAATGGCTTTGGTCTGAAGATTTGGAATCAAATTTTGATTCTAATGAAATAAATATCACTATGGATTGTGAGTTCATTCATATATATATATATATATATATATATATATATATATATATATATATTTCAAATGGACATTCCAAAAGGGGTATAAATCAGAGAGCTCAGTGTTAAAAACAGAGCAAATAATAATTATTATTATATATGTTTTTTATATTTTTGTGTGTGTCTATATAGTTTTAGATATGTAGATTGTTTTGTTTTTGTAGATATATAGGTGCATAGTTTTCTTCCTAACTTAGTTATCTTTGTTTATTTATATTTTTTATATATTTTTATTAGATTTATACTATAAATTTTTATTATTACTTTTATTATTATTATAATTAATACTATGCATATACTTTTCCTTAATTTTATTCATTTTAAATAAGATATAATTTTTTCAAAAATTATATATATATATATATATATATATATATATATTTTATTTAAAAATTCTTAGATCATTATTATTATTATTATTAATATTATTTTTTTTAAATTAGTGTCATAAATATAGCTGACTACATGAACCAGACAAAAGACGATTTTGATGTATACAAAATTTGCCAGTTCCTCCAGCCTTCCACCGAGTTAACTGTTACTCACTTCTTCCTTTCTTTCTCCTTCCTTGTCTTTTTCTCCTTACCATCTGTAGGAGTCTGTTCCTTTTTGAATCGTGTGTCTAAAAATTAGACAACCTCAACTATCTTTTTGAACAACTTAAATAAATCTTTCTTCCTTTCCTAGGTTTGAATATTTTCACTGTTCCCTCCTTTACCTTCCCCCTTTCTGAATATATCCCCTTTCTTTCCCTAACCTCCCCACTAAATTTGAATATGCATATTTAACATAATTTATGTTCTGATTGGGTTTTGAAACCTGATAAAATCCTTGTCCATTTATATTTGTATGTAACAGTTAGTCTGAAGAGTTGGGATTGAATCTTTGATTTTAATGAAATAAATATCATGATGGTATTTTAAGTGTTCATTTTCGCTATTATAATAATTATATATATCTCATTCAAATATGTTTCATTGAATAATATAGACATATGTTTGTTTATTTTATAATAATCCTTTCCAGTTCTCTAATCAGTTTCTTTATGTTAAGATAAAGGGAAGGCACTAGTTTTTCCTGCCTAAGTACTTTTGATCTCCTCCAAAATCATCCTCAGGGGTGAATTATAGAGACAAACTTATTTGCATTTCATTGTGATTTTTTAAAAACGTGTGAATGTGCTCTGTTATAATTATTTGAAATTTATCTGTTGTAGCTATGGAATTTTTTGCAAAACAAGTGCCCCAATATAAGGGAACTGACCAGAAATTGGTAGAAATGCAAAATGGCATTAAATGTTTGTTAAATGTACTTCAACACATTGCTGCTACACTTGTAATAAATTTTGTTGTATGTTGGTTAGCTGCTTTTGATAGAGAGGGTTGAATTTGAAAATAAAACTAATATATTATGCTAAATTTAACACAACCAACTTAATCATATGCAATAATGCTTCTCTGTCAACTAGTGTTTTGGAAAAAAAACAACATTGTATATCAGTTTCAATGTTCTTTGGGAGATTGTGTCTCTGACAAAAAGTAAGTATATATGTTGATTTAATGACCACACTATTATCAAGATGTCTTACACTTCATTTGTCAGATACAAGTTCTACTGCACAACATTTAAAAACACATTCCTGTTCACCGTCAAAATACAGGAAAATACAGGGTGTGACAGGTAAATTTTAGCCATTTTATATTTTTAATTTTGAGCATACGTGTTTGTTTTTGATTTTGTCAACTGCACAGTATAGTGGGGTCAGTTGGATACCATCTGTGAGAAAAAGACCACCATGACGCAATTCACTCTACCAAACATTTGGAAATGCCATGCTGTACTGTTTGGCATTTGCACCGGAAGCTCCAATACAAACATTTCAGAGTGTTTGGGTGTCTATCTGAGGACAGTGCAGAGGATGCTGTTCCTCCAAAAGATGTACCGATAGTGATGAAAATCAAATATCCAGTCAACATTATGGTGTTTGGAATGATGACTAGTGATGGCAACATTATGTCTCCATTTGTCTTTCCACATGGCCTTTGACTCAACACGGAGGCCTATGCCTAGGGCCTTAAGGAGGTAGTGCTGCCCTGGGTTAAGCGTGCCTGCTAGATGACACTGTCTGGCAACAGAACTCTGCAGCATACCACACAAGCAGGAGAACCCAGTCATGGCTGTAAGTCAATTTCTGTGACCACATCACCCCTTACATCTGGTGACCTAATTCCCCAGATTGCAACCCCCTTGATTATGTGTAGGACGCAGTTGAGTGAAAGACCAACACAACCTCTTGTAACACCAAGTACAAACAGAAAGCAAGGATTATGGCAACATTTATCAACTTAAACAAGGAGTCTGTTCAGAAGAGTACAGGAGATTCTGAAGTCATCTGGAGGCATTAGTTGAAGCCGATGGCGATTTTTTTATTGAATAAATTTACTCTTTAGTATTTCAAGATATTTTTGTGTAATTTTGGTAAATGTATGTGTTAAAATGAGATCTCGGCCTTATTTTCAGTTTATCCATCGCACCCTGTACTACACTATGAAAATAATAGACACAAACTTCAAATTCTCGAGGCCCTCTATATCAAAAGCAAGCAACCAATACTCAACAAAATTTCCCTGATGAATTTCATCTTAACATCAAGAAACTGATTAGAGAACTGGAAATGATTATTATAAAAATAGACATATGTCTATATATTTATAAATCTGATAAATTGTATTACTTAAACGTTATTTTTAGTGGATGCCCATATTTAAGTAGACGCTCCATTTTATTTATTAATATTTTGTATTTTATAATATATTGTATTTCAATATTTATTCCCCGCAACTTGTGGTGTTAGTAACTAATAATTGCAGCAGAAATTTCTATCATTTGCTGTTATGGAATTGTAATGATGGAAAAATCCTATCACCTGCAATTAATGTATTCTGAGGATGAAGTGAATCATTGATTATTTACAAGCATAAAGATTATTTTCAGGAAGAAAAATATCATTAATGTTTGTTGGACAAGGTATTTTTTTTTTTTTTTTTTTTTGAGAAAGTACATTACACATATACATTCACCTTCACAAGAACATTTAAAAACATATGAAAAATAAAAAAACACAAATACTTCTGACACATTTATCCCATATTTTTTACATAGGACCTTTTAAAAATGTTAAATTTGAATCATCTCAATTTAGTATTACAGAGAATGCAAATTTCAATTAAAGCATTTATCATTGTGTTCTATGATATTTTTGAATGAGTTTTTGTCAAAATATTTTTGTTGTAGGTTTTCTTCTTTTTGATGTTCTTTGAGACTTTACGAAATTTTGTTCTTATCCATTCATTTTTACTATAAAAAATATTAAATGCTGCCTCATTTAAATTTCATAATAATTAAATGCTGATAAACAGTAAATAACAAAACAGCCACCTAACATGGATGATGCTCTATATGTTAAAGATCTAGTTGCAATAATCATGATTAATATTAAAACTTAAAGTTAGTGTTGCCTTTCCATATTGCATACAAATATATACAAAAATATAACTTCTGTAAATGAGACTGGAATGATTTTCCTGAATTGGAAAATATGTTGCTCTTTTTTTTCTTTTTTTTTTCCCCTAGTCCATTGTTGTTAATTTTTATATTAAATTTCTCTTCAGAAGGCACCAGAAGAAGGCAATAAAAATTACAATGCTATTCCACCTCCAGAAGAACCAAAAGATATACGAGAAACTCGGGAATATCAAATTGCATTGGAACTGGAAATGTGGAAAGAAATGCAGCAACAAAAGTTTGAAAATGAGGTTTGTCATTATTTAAAAAAAAAAAAAAATACTGGTTTCTATTATGATTCTAAAAACACTTCAACTTGTATTTTCAACTCTTTTTTTTTTTTTTGTTTTATTTTATTTTTCCAATCATGATTATCATCATGTCTTGTAAACTCTTAATTTAATGTTTAACTAAACATTTCTTTACTCTTAAGTCTCTTTGGGAATTATTTGTAAAATTTATTCAAAAACTTTTATTCTGTTTAATTTTTTTTTGATTGTTTTTCTTTAAATATTCTTGCAACATACAGTAAAGAATTTTCTTTGATAAAAATTACAAACAAATCATTTAATGCACAAAAATTATAAACTAATTAAAAGGAATATATAACTGATTTACATTTTACATTACTATCTTAAAATGTACAAGTATCTACATGTGCATGTTTTCTGCCTGCTTTAATTATATATGAGGGTATATGAAATAACCTAATTTTTTAATATTATTTCAGCTGAAACAGAAAGAAATTACCTACATGAAGGTTTTGGCTGATGAATGGAAGAAAAGAGATAAAGAACGAGAAGTTGTTTTGCAAAAAAAGGTCTTTTTTTAAAAAAATTTGTTTTATATACAATTCAGAACATCAGTAGTTAAAAATTGTGAATTTATGTAAGAGCAATACTTTAACTGGCAAATGTATGCTTGCAATATAATATATATATATATATATATATATATATATATATATCTCCACACACAGGGTGTATCAAAAATACTTTCACAAACTTTGAGGATTTCCTCACACTGAAATAAGGACAACGGTCCATATAAATATGTCTGCAAATCCTTCGTTTTTGAGTTATTAAGTTTAAAGTTTACCAAAGATGCTGTTAAATGTACAATCAAAGAAATAATCCAAAACTGCCTGCTCACAATATCAATATCCTGCCAATGGAACACTTCTTGGTTAACTCACTACTATTGCTGTAAACTTTCTTTAAACTTAACTCAAAAACAAAGGATTTGTGGACATATGTTTATATGGAATTTTGTCTTTGTTTTGATGTGAGGAACATGCCCCCAAAGTTTGTAAAAAAAAAAAAAAAAAAAAAAAAAAAAAAAAAAAATTTTGATACACCCTGTATATATGTATAATATAACATTAAGAGAACTGTTCTCATGTAAATGTAAACTTGGTAATATATGAAATGTAGTAAGCAATAAGAACTGTGGTACTAGGAAAAATTGAATCATAAATCCATGAATAACAAAAAGGATTTATATAAACTGGTCTTTGTTCTTCAGCAATTTATGTGCCTATTTCTGCTACCAAGATTCTTTATATACACATATTATGTATGTCTGTATATGTATGTATAGAGGTATAGGATTAGATATTAGTGACCATATACGTGTGTGCTGGCGTGTATACGCTGGTATGCAAATAAATAATTGCCAAATTTAGCCAAGAGGTGTAGACAATAGTGCTCAATGTGATTAGACAGAGCTAAGAAATATATATTAATAAATACACATATACCTACATTTTTTAAAATAAACAATAAGCTGTATCTCATGTCCAATGAGTTGGTTGACCAATGAAACTCGACTTGCACATCAAACATAGGTATGTGTGTGTGTATATATATATATATATATATACACACACACACACACATACCTATGTATATAATGAGAAAATGACATGAAAAATAATCTTGCTACAGTATTTTTCTTCTACTAATTTTCTAAAGAAATTAACATTAAAATTTGATTGAAATTACTGGTTTTTCTGTGAGTGTTCACATATGTCTACAAAAATATTTTCAAATGCTTTCTCTAAAAAGTTTTCAGTCTGTATATGTCTTTACACTTATTACATAAATTCATGTGAAGTAAAATTTGTTTTGTATTTTAATTTTTTTATTTAGTTATCTGAATACAACCAACTGGAGGATCAATTAAATAAAGCTTTGAAAAATTTAGAAAAAAAAGAACGTGAACTAATAATCAAAGAAAAAGAAGTAAGTTAGTTTGAATGAGTCAACTACTGCAATTATATTTTATAAAAAAAAGTCAATTTTGTTTTAGTTATTCTTATTCATGGAATTTCTGGTATAAATAAAATTGTTTCACTACTGCAGATTGTCCACTTAAGAAATGACCATGAACGGGAACATGAACGGAAAATGATTGAAATGAAAGAAGCCTCACAGCGTTTGCAAGAAGACTGTGAACATCGCATACAACTAGAAAGGTAAGCATTAACTTGTGACATTTTGAAGAAAGGACTTAACCTGGATTGAGAATTGAAATTGGGTCTTCTGTTATAAGAATTTAGAATGAAATGTTGTCGTCACATGTAATAATCAACCATCAAGGCATGGTCAGTAATTTTGTCCTGTAATGACTGTGTTGATATTTAACTGCAGACCAGTACTAATGAAGTGAATTCATTTTGGAATGTCTTACATTTATGGCCTTGCACATTGACTGCTTTCTCACTTTTTCTGTTAGTGATCAAGATATTACATTATAGTTGTATATATTAGTTACTTACAAAATTTTTATTAGAAATTTTAAATATAAAATATAAGACCAAATTTTATGTAGTGTGAGTAGTGAAATCAACATAATTAAATTTTGGTTAAAGAATTAACTTCAGAAGGATTTAGTCTGCATTCCTCTTAACAGTATAACATTAATTTACCAAATGATTGATGTAAATTTTTAGTGTAATTATCTCCCCTTAATAAATTTCTATGTGCCAAGAACCTGTCAGAAATAAGAAATTAAGATGAAATCTTCATTTTTAAATACGATTAGAATTTTGCAAACGTTCTTCAATCTAGAATATTTCAAAATGAATGATGCTTCATTAAGACTTCCTAAATAACAATGCTGACGTCACACATTCGTGAAATAACAATGCTGACGTCACACATTCGTGAAATAACAATGCTGACGTCACACATTCGTGAAATAACAATGCTGACGTCACACATTCGTGAAATAACAATGCTGACGTCACACATTCGTGAAATAACAATGCTGACGTCACACATTCGTGAAATAACAATGCTGACGTCACACATTAAGAAATAACAATGCTGACGTCACATTATTCGTGAAATAACAATGCTGACGTCACACATTCGTGAAATAACAATGCTGACGTCACACATTCGTGAAATAACAATGCTGACGTCACACATTCGTGAAATAACAATGCTGACGTCACACATTCGTGAAATAACAATGCTGACGTCACACATTCGTGAAATAACAATGCTGACGTCACACATTCGTGAAATAACAATGCTGACGTCACACATTCGTGAAATAACAATGCTGACGTCACACATTCGTGAAATAACAATGCTGACGTCACACATTCGTGAAATAACAATGCTGACGTCACACATTCGTGAAATAACAATGCTGACGTCACATTCGTGAAATAACAATGCTGACGTCACACATTCGTGAAATAACAATGCTGACGTCACACATTCGTGAAATAACAATGCTGACGTCACACATTCGTGAAATAACAATGCTGACGTCACACATTCGTGAAATAACAATGCTGACGTCACACATTCGTGAAATAACAATGCTGACGTCACACATTCGTGAAATAACAATGCTGACGTCACACATTCGTGAAATAACAATGCTGACGTCACACATCTGTGAAATAACAATGCTGACGCCACACATTAAAAAATAACAATGCTGACGCCACACATTCGTGAAATAACAATGCTGACGTCACACATTCGTGAAATAACAATGCTGACGTCACACATTCGTGAAATAACAATGCTGACGTCACACATTCGTGAACACACATTCGTGAAATAACAATGCTGACGTCACATTCGTGAAAAATAACAATGCTGACGTCACACATTCGTGAAATAACAATGCTGACGTCACACATTCGTGAAATAACAATGCTGACGTCACACATTCGAAATAACAATGCTGACGTCACACATTCGAACAATTGACGTCACACATTCGTGAAATAACAATGCTGACGTCACAATTCGTGAAATAACAATGCTGACGTCACATTCGTGAAATAACAATGCTGACGTTTCGAAATAACAATGCTGACGTCACACATTCGTGAAATAACAATGCTGACGTCACACATTCGTGAAATAAAAAGGTGCAATCAATATTATGAAATTGAATTTGGAGTTGCAATGTCTGAATATGTTGGATGAGTGAATGCTTTACAACAAAGCTATAACTATTTCTGCCTGATTCCCAAAGAACTGTGTTTTAACATAATCCTAATGAAAAATTAAGCCGCTTCATTTAACTAATTCTGGGTACTATCCATTGATTGCTGCCTTGAATTGGTCTAATTGTAGTCAGTGCTTGTTTGAACCAATCATTTCATTCTTTAGAAGAAGCTCATCATAGAGAAGTTTCTTCCAATCCTGTCATATACATAACATTACTTTTTTGTTTGAAGACCACACTTTTGTGTACAGTTAGTGTTGATTCATTTTGCTTGTTCCACAGTCTCTTGCATTTCACAGTGTTGTAAAGTATTTACTTTTCATCATCTGTCACAATTTGATTAAAAAAATATTTTAATTAGTAAATTGCACATGGAAATATAACAGGGTTTTTTGCTGATTTAGAAGCTGCTTATGCAAGTGACTAACACAGTCAAGTTCATGCAAATGATTTTCAACCTAGGATTTAGATATTCTGACTATGTTGTCTATCCTTCTAGATGGCATTGCATTTATTATTTTTGAATGATAGTCTTTATTTGTTTTATATCAACCATAGCTGGTTTATCTGGCTATGGAGCTGATCATTCAGCAAGGAATTTCTAGCATCAAACTTTGCAAACTACTTTTGACATATTTGATTATTCACAGTAATTATAAATTGCATAAACCATTTTTGCATTTGAGTTAAAATATAAGTACAAGATGTTGAAAATGTAGCTTATTGTCTTGTCATAAATACTAGAATCAATAAACACAAATACTATGATTTTGGCAATTTTAAAAAATCAAATGCAATCTTTTTGAATGAATGAAGTTAATTTTTGTGTCATCATAACAAAAAAATAATTCATTTTTGGCAAAACCCAATACCAGATCAGAAAGAGGAAAACTATACAAGTAATGTTAATTATACAATGGAAAACCTGCTTTTTTTTGTGTTTTCTTCAATGAATGCTGTGTAGGAAAATAAGAAGTAAATTCTATTATGCATCCCTAATCAAAAGGTTTTATTTGAATATTATTCCTAAATTTCCTTTTTGTCTTTCAGAATCAAGGTATCTGAAATGGAAGGGCTCATTTCAAAATATAAGCAAGAGGTAAGATTGGTGTGAGCATTTTTGATATGTGCCTTTTTGTCTTTTTTTTTTTTTTTTTTTTTTAAGGATGTAGTTATAAGTAATTGTCTTGTTTGCAGTTTTTAATGAGAATGACAGGAGCGTTTATTTATATATATATATATATATAATAATAATACACATTTCATTAAAGTTGACAGACAAGGTACTACGATTTAGCTTTTTATTTAATTTTCTTGTGTTCAAACAAGCTTTTTTAGACATAGTTTGTGAAACTGTCCAAATGTTCTGATTTCAAGTGCTTTCAGCTATACTTTTAGCCATTATCAAGGATGATTTTATTTTTGCTTTATAATTGGGTGTATGGGTTGTGTGTATGTTTTTAGTTATAGGGATGTTTTATTTTCTGAATGCAGCACATTGTGGCCATGTTTGTAGTTAATGTGCTGGCTTTTTCATTTTTATTATTAAGGCCATTTAACAACACACACAAACTTACCAGACTCCATTTGAAACCTACTAGTAGAAAATGTACCTCATTCACATATAAAAAAAAAAAAAAATTAAAAATAATGGAAGCCTTAATAATAAAAAAGAAAAAGCCAACACTTAATATTAACTATGAACACGGCCACAATGTGCTGTGTTTGTAAAATAAAACATCCCTATAACTCTAAAAATATACACACAACCCATACACCCAATTATAAAGCAAAAATAAAATAATCCTTGATAATGGCTAAAAATATATACCCGAAAGTGCTCAGAATTATAGAACATTTGGACATTTGTTGTCTTTAATGAAACATGTATAAATGAAGGATTGCTGCCTAAATACACAATTTTATACACACACACACACACACACACACACACAGAATAAAAGCTGAAAATATAAAATAAACTGAGGGCTCAATACCAAAGTTTGCAGAGCCTACATATATTATTATTATTAATTTAATAATACAAAATTATTGAGTTAACAATATATATATTATTGTTGTTGACTAGATGATGCCTTTGTTTATTTTTGCATCTGGACATGAATCTCATACAGAAAAAATTGTGTTGTAATGTGGGGGAGAAATATTTTATTTTCTCAGTATCTACTCGTTTAAAATATTGCATTGAATTATGAAGTTTCAAATCAGCAATGAAAACATATGAGACATTTAATATCAAATGAGGTTTCACAAACTTATGAAACTGTTTAATTTTTGTATATAGTATATATCTCGAAATGTTCTGTAAGTGAAAGCCATGTAGCCAAAAATATTATTTCAATCCTTAGGCTTTAATCTGAATATCTACAACTGTGGCTGAAAAGTCAGGTGGTTATGTCATCATGGAAGCTTGATGAATTTTATTGAGAGTAATATTTTGGATGCTTTTAATTACTCTGAACTTTAATTATTTCTAGATTTAAAGTTAATTTTATTTATTTCTCTTTTGGATTTTTATCACTTTTAGTTGATTGATGCTGAAAAGAAATATGCTAGTCTTGAGAAAGAAATTTCTCTCTTCAAAGAACAGCAGAATTCCAAACCAGAAGTTCGTCTCCATTCAGAGATCAACATGCTGACTCTAGAAAAGGTGAGGGCTGTGTATGCAATTTAAAACAAAAAAGTTTTTTTTGGTTCCAAACCTCAAAATTTTTTTCTCTTTGTGATTATTCTGATGCTTACTTTCATCGATTCTTTTAATTTTTGATAAAGAAATATTATACAGTTATATTACTTCTATTGAGTGTATGTAATTATATGAAGGTACATGTTCGTTTTGCTTCAACTTGTTAGACATATAGGATATTGCACATTGTAAGGTTGTTGAATCTAAGTTAACAAATCTAGAAACATTGAGATAATTTGAATGCAATTTCTAAAAGAAAAGTCATATATGATGAAAAATTGCAAGGTTTCACATGCTGGTGATTTTTTTTATTTTTTTTATCTCAATGAGGATTTAAAATATTTTTAATAGGAATTAATTTGTCATCTATTTTTTTTCTTTACTTTTTAATTGATCATTAAAAATTCATGCAAAAGAGGTTTAATAGTTTGATAGACTCTTAGGATAGAGATGAACTCCATTTGACAGTTTTGGTTAAAATAAATCTAGTTTTCTGACAGTTGGAAGTTCAATTCCTGGGATGGGTAGTGAAGAAAAGACATATAATTTGGTTCACTGGAAGAAACAGACAAATAATAGACTGGAGAGAATTAACTGATAGAAGATATTCTCCTAAAGACTCGAAACAGAATGAGAATAATCTATCCCCTTTGTGGATTAAATAAAAGGTTTGGTTCAAAATTCTGAAAAGGCTACTGAATGACATCCACTTGAAGTGGATCAGAAAGTACATTGGCTGAATCATGAATAGAATAACGGAGGTGAGTCTCTTAATCTGAATAGGAAGGCTTATAATAAAAGATTTTTTCTCCTTAATAACTTTCAAATATACCTTGTATGAAAAGATTAAAGTTGCTATAAACCATTGGCTCTGGTCATTGTATCTGTTGAGGTTGCAAAACTTGTCCTAAATTCCTGGAATTAACCATTTTACTGGAAGTAATAATGCTGAAAAAAAAATGCTTTAGAGTAATTTCCTGGAAAGAGAAACACTTTTATATTCTAGTGGCAGCTTATTAATTTTTAAAATTTGATTGGATATAAAAAAAATTAAGAACAAATCATTTTGCTAGTAGTCTTTTGCAATGATGCTGTTATGAGTAGTTGAATTGGTATTTACATCTTTTTTATATTTTGTGTGTGTGTGTTTATGACAGGTTGAATTAGAGAGAAAACTTGACAGTGTGACAAAATCCAAAATCCATTACAAGCAACAGTGGGGTCGAGCCTTGAAAGAACTTGCTCGACTGAAGCAGAGAGAACAGGCAACAGCCAAGGCCCAGTTGAAAAGACAGCAACAAGAATTGGAGGAGATGAGGTTAAGGTATATAGCAAATGAAGAAAAAGAAAGCATGAAGAATGATAAGAAAGAATTGGAAGAAATAAAGAATGAACTTAACAGGTAAGAGGAAAATCTGGATGAGGATAATTTTGAAGATATTCATTTTTTTCCTCCTAAATATTAAAGACATAAGTGCATATATGAGATGTGGTATGGTAATTATTTACACTATTTACATTGTTTAGATTAGCATGCCAGGAGGTTTATACCGTGAAGCACTTCCTGCTTGATTGCAGTGACATGGCACATATTCGAAAACTATTTTACAAAGCGAACAATTTGAAAGAACTTTTCGAAAAATCAAACCCCAATTTGATTTTGACATTTCTTAGGAAAGTTGGACTATATAATAAAATATAATTCCAATTTGGTGTCTGATGATGAAAAGGGAAACCTTTTGATACTTGTCGGAAAAATGAGAAATTTTCAAAGAACGCACCTCTGAAAAACAGTGAATTTTTTAAAAACAAAAAGCAAGACAACATCGAAAAAGAATGAAAGGAAAGTGAAAGTTTTTTGAAAGCATTTCAACCTTATTTAAAAAAAACCAAAAAAAACAACTGTTTGACCTTAAATGATCTCTTGCTGATCGATGGGTCGTTAAGTTTTAAACAAACAAACAAACAAACATTGTTTAGACAGTTGGCCTCATCTTTGTTGCCATATTCACAATGTTTCGGCCATGGAACACTCCAACCTACTTTGTATGTGTATGTATGTATGTATGTATGTATATATATATATATATATATATATAATTCCAGCACTTGAAAATTGCTTCAGCATGAAACTCTGAGTTGTGCTATTAATGTAATATATAAAGACATTTTTATGTTAGTTTATACATTCTTTTTATATATAAAATGATGAAAATGGAGACTTTAAAAGATCATGGTAATATTTTATTTCATTAAAACCAATGCTCATCAGACCAAACATTTTCACAAAAATAAACGGATAAAAATTTTACCAGGCACAAAAACATTTAACTGAACATGATTTATGTTTTAAATATATAGATTCAAAATTGGGGGATGAGAGGGGGGAAAGGGGATATGTATTCAAAATGGAGGAAGGAAATAGATGGAGGAGAGGAAGAGGGCTATGCATTCAAGGCTGGGAAGATAAAAGTAAAGAGAGGGAGAAAGAAATAAGTTTAAGGGGATATGTGCAAAGACATGTTGACCTGTTTATACCGGGTGTGCACAGTAAAGTAGAGAATGTGTCGGTAAATAGGAATAGGGGAAAGAGACAAGGAGAGTGAAAGAAAAAGAAGGAAGAGAAGAAAGAAAGAAAAGGAAACTAGAGATATGCCTTGAAACCAGCAATCATCTTTGTATAAAATTGAATAAACTATCTGTCTAATGCATGTAGTCATTCATGCTTTTAGCACCTTTTGTAGTTTTTATAAAACTAATACAATAATATTTGAGAAAAATGATATATATATTTTTTGAAAAAAATCATTATTACTTTCAAAAAGGTCTTTCTTTTTATAGGTTATAATAATAAATAAAAAGGATATTATTTGAAGTGAATAAAATAAGGATAATAATACACATAATAATAATGATAATAAGGGTAAAATAAACAAAATTATCTAACTTACAAAGAAATATATGCAATTATATAGCTATATAAACCAAACCATCTACATACATCTATAGACATATAAACACACACACACACACATATATATATATATATATATATATATCTCATAATAAAAAAAAAATATATATATGAGAGATCTAGTTCACAAGATTGAAGAGAAGAGCCGATGTCAGCTCAGGATTTGTGGTTGACTTCAGACAATTCATGAGACATATTTTCCAAGTTGTTGAAGATGACGAAGAACAGTTATATGGTTTGAACGAAGCTTCATTGAAAATTCTTCAATTGATACTGCAGGATTTTCTTCAAGTGATGCCACAAGGAGCTCATCATCAAACTCAACTGGACGTCCTGTTCGTTCTTCATCTTCAAGACTGAAATTTTCACTTCTGAATTTGGCAAACCATCACCTGCAAAATCTTTCATTAAGACATTTTTTCCATAAGGGAGTAATAAAATTCCCAGAGTTGTCACTCTACACACCAGAAGAAATTAAAAATGATGATATCCTAAAAAAGCAAGGAGTAGCAGACATCAAAATAATTCAAATAAAAAGAAATGACATATCAATAAACACAAATTGACATTCAACAAACCTACTCTACCTAAAGAAATAAAGATAGGATGCTCAATAGTCATTGACCCTGTAGATGTCACAAATGTCAGAAATTTGGTCATCTACATAATCTTTGTACGAGAGCATCAGTCTGTTGAAGATGTAGGGAGCTTGAGTTGGATCATGAAGAGTCTCCCTGTGAAAGGCCTCTTTTATGTCCAAAAAAAAAAAAAAAAATTAGCAGACTAAAGAGTGTGGCATCTGGAAAAAGGAAAAGAAAATAATAATAAAATACACGTAAAACATCTTGTTCCAAGAAGCCAGAAAACAGGTTGAGTCTTGTTCAATATCATATGCAAATATCGCTAAAATATCAAATCTCCAAAATGACATCCAAGAGAACAATGCAAGAAGAAGCCAAGATCTTACAACTCTAATAAATAAATTAAAAAGTCTAATAGAACTACTAAAATGTAGTATACACGTATAAATCAAACTCCCATAGACAAAACAAATCCTATCCCGTCAACCTCAAATAAAATAGAATCTATATGTAACAAATGATTAACTCTGAAAATCACAATCCAAAGTACAAAAAATCGTTCAAGAAATAGAACCGTCTAAACATTCCCAAGAGAATCAAATGGTGCATAAAACAAATAACACAACCCAGTACATCATTGAAGAACCAAGTGAAATGGACAAAGATGAACAAAACTCTATCCCATCTCAAACAAGGGAACAGTCATCATCCAAACAAAGATTGTCAAAAGAACCTAATGAAAAGGAAACAAGGACGTCCATGAGGGAATATTCTTTTTGATTTAAATTAAATTTAAATTTAAACAAGGGAATGGCTCTTATCCAATATACTGATCTCCTAATTTTTAAATTAAAAGCTCTACATGTTATTTTTTTTTTTTTTCACATATGTATTGAACACTTTTTAATACTACTGTTTCCTGGTCTAGTTCAATACGTATACAACATTAAAACTTTTATCCATCTATATCTGAAAAAGTCTACTTGAGGCTTTGTTCTTTGTCAAAAGCTTTGTAAATACAAGGCCTGATTAAACGGAAATAATTTTACTTTGCTGCAAATAAATTTTAATCCATAATGAAGTAACCTGGGTTAAATAACAAAAAAAAAATGGCTTCGATGTACCACAAGGTTCGTTTGATGGTGCTTGGGTTTCAGAGTAAATAGGTCTACATATTTTATATGAAATTAACAAAATTGTACATATAAACAACCACAGTCTGTACGGTCTCATGATAGTAGCAAACAACAGAAGAACAGCACTTTTCAAACTCTTCAAAAGCCTTGGCTTTGAAATAGAAGTCAAAATGAATAAAAAAGTTGTCAACTAACTGGATGTAGAATTAAATTTGCAAGCTGGCAGTGTCTCCCCATACATGAAATCCAGCACACAATTAAAATACATGAATATTAGATCTAAGCACTCTGTGCACATCCCTAAAGGAATAGTCTAGGTTATCCAAAAACTCTTCCAGTAAAATAATTTTTGAGGATAAAAAGAAAGAATATGAGAAGAACTTAAAGGTGGAGGGTCACAAAAATAAGTTAGAACATAAAAACCTCAAATTAAACAACATATGATGAACAATTTAAGGAAAAGAAAAATATTGGCTTAACAACCCCTTTTTAACTTAGTGGTAAAATGTAAAATAGAGAAGTTATTTTTCAAATTACTTGCTAAACACTTCCCCAAAAATTCAGAATTTTAGCAAAAACACAGTTAAATTAAGCTACAGCTGCATTAGTAATTTAGAAACAATAATAAATAAACAAAATGCCAGAAATTTCAAAACTGATGTGCAGCAAAATATAGTTAACACTAGAAATTTATGCAACTGTAGAAATAAGAATAGATGTCCATTAGATGGAGCTTATTGACATTTTTCGGACTATTGTCCTCATCTTTGTTGTGATAAATATGGCAACAAAGATGAGGACGATAGTCCGAACAATGTAAATAGTGTACATAATACCTCATCTCAGAAATATAGACAGATACTAGATGGAGCTTGTAAAACCAAAGCAATAATCTATAAAGGAGCTCTACCAAACTAGCTAACCATGTGTAAAATTTAAAAGAAGAAAACGGCGGGGATCCAATTGTAAGATGGAAAATTTTTAAAAAGGCAAAGCTTTACAACAGTCACAATAAAATTTGCAATCTATGTCAACAGGAAAAATTAGCAATAATGACATTGCCAAATAAAAAAAAAAAAAAAACCTTTTGAACCAGAGATTTGAAGTGATGAGCCATTGGATTCATACAAAAAATATTCCTCTTAAAAGCTCATCTGAGGCTGGTTAAAAAAGTATGTACATTTCAATTACTCCCCCCCCCTCACGATACATTCATAATACCCTTGCTTTTCTCCTCCTCCCTTTTCTTTTTCTCTTTCCTTCTTTGCATCCTCCTCCTTTCTATCACACCCAATGCTGTCCATTCAATTGATAAAAATCACCTGAGGATACTGTAATGTTGAAACCAAGGTAGTGAAATCAACTGATCTCCTCATATTTAAAGTTAAAAGCTCTTACATGTCATTTTTTATTTATATTTTTTTCACACAGCATTGAGCACTTTTTAATATTACTGTCCTGGTCCAATTCAATGCTGACCATTAACCTTATTTATATATATATATATATATATATATATATATATATATATATATATACATAGCAGTAGAGCCCAGGGGATGTAACAGTAAGAGATAGATCAAGTAACGACCATCATAAAGACTGAAAAATAAAATTGACAAAGATTATTATTTAAAGTTGACGGACACACATGTCTTAATTAGTTTTTTTGGGGTTTTTTTTTTACGAATTGGTCAAACATTGTTTTCAATCGTTATGAGTCTATCGAGGGAATAGAATTTTATTATGAACAGTTGTCTTGTAAATGGAATTTTTAAAGCATTTTTATTTTTAAAGCATTCTGCATGTAAAAATAAAGAAAAAAGTGTGCAAGACAATAAGAAACACTACCTGCCAAAAAAAGTGAAGTTTTGTTGAGATCGGTCGAAAAATGTAGGAAATCCGATCCCATATATAAACAAACACACACAGACCACCTGGGTTTTATAATTAAGTATAACACGATATGAGTTGTCCCCCTTTCATTCTGGCGACAGAATCGTGTTTTCAAATTGATTTTGTGCAAAAACAATTGTGTTTTTCCAATTTTTGGTGCTGTCAGAACCACCGCAAGGTAATTTTACATAGTCCTGTGAAGTTTTGTTGAAATCGGTTGAAAAATATAGGAAATCAGATCCAATATATAAACGTACAGACACACACACACACACACACACACACAATCTGCGTTTTATAATAAGTAAGATATATATATTAATTTTTTTTTTTTTTTTACTCATTTAAATCTTTTTTCTTTTTCTTTTGAACAAAATGAGCTGGGGGGGGAAGCTCAGTATTAATGACACAGAACATCGAATACAAACAAGAATAGAGCCTTGTTCACTATCAGCACAAAGAAAAAGAATTATTGTGCCATGAGATGTTATGGAATACCAAAAATACCTTTTAAATAATACATCTTCATTTGCTTATATAGATTGTCTCGTAACAACTTCTTATCCACAAAATCATAATTTTCAAATGTCTATTGATACTTGTGTATACATAGCAGAAATAGTTTCTGTCGAGGGTAAAAATATGGAATGCTTGAAAATTGGTTTGTCAAAAAGATTTGAAATGTATATTTGAAATCTGTAAAAATTAAAGCCAATGTGGCAAAAAAAAATTATCATTTTTTTGGTCAATATTTGTGCTGTCATTTTCTGTTAAAAATTGTGATCATTTGAATCTCTTTTTAGTTCTCTACATTTTCAATAGGTTTATTTTTCTTTTTTAACTGGGAGTAACAATTTCTCATAATCATGCCATCTTTTGTTAATACATTAGATGGTAAATATGAATAAATGTTTTTTTTTTTTTTTTTTTTTATCGGTTGCAAATAATTAAAATTTAAAATGAGAATGTGTTTGGCTTTGTTTCTTCAGATTGCGCTTAGCAGAGGAGCAGTTACAATTGCAGCAGCAACAGCAGCAACATGCAGCTGCTCTGTTTAAAGAGAAACAGATAACACGTAGCCCTCGTTCATACCAAACACCTGTCAATGGGCATGATGAACACATCACCAGGCTAATTGAAGAACGAGATATTTTGTTGCGGACAGGAGTCTACACATCTCAGGATAGAATAATTGCAGACCTTGACCAGCAGATAAAAGAAGCAATTTCTCAAAGAAAAAGCTAAAAAGGAAGTGGCTTCACAGTGCCTAAATGATACTTTTTTTTTCTTGAGATAGTGTTATATATATATATATGTATGTATATATGTGTGTGTATGGATGGCTATGTAAATAAGTGTATTTGTATGAATGTTTGTAAGGCACTTGTATATCTGAATATAAACTATACACTTCTGGGAATATATATACCTGTATATGTGTGTATATATGTATTTGCATATATTATATGCATTTGTGTATGCGCGATATTTTTATTGAAGTAAGGTTATGTAGATGTGCTTGTAATTACATAGACTGTTCACAATGTTTCGTTCTTTGAAAAGACTTGTTTCTATCATTAAACACACATTTATATATATATATATATATATATATATATATATATATATATTTTGATAACAAGTATTATTTTCTAAGATCTTAAGAGGATGTCTTATGGAAAATATATTTTTGTTGTTATTTGGAGTTTATTCCTTTTAGTTTTGTAAGAAAATTCATAGAGCAGGTATTTGAACTTTTTTTTCTATTTTAAGAAACTCTGTTTGACATCCATTAGAAATTGTTAATTTCCTCTTTAATACAAAAACATTTTCAAAATTGAGAAAAATTCCAAATGTTTTGAATCATCAAATGTACATTATGAAGTCAAACACTTTTAATTTTTAATTTGTTTTTTCAGAAAGATACAGCTTATATACTCTATATATAACTTTATTACTGCATTTCCAATTAAGTCATGGGATAAATTGTGGTTTAAAAAAAAAAAAAAAAAAAAAATTCAAAGTTTATTTAACTTTGAAGTCTATATCTTTTTTTTTTGTTTTTTACATCTTATGTAAAATGTTCATATATGTGTGATTTGAATTTTTGATCATTTTTTTTTTTCATAAAGCTTTAAATAATTTTTCATATTTAATGATGATAAATACTTTTTTTTTTTGTGTGTGTGATTTTCAAATCTCTTCAAAATAACCTTTTGAGTTCTTTCTGAAGAATTTTTCACTTATTCTGAAAAAAAATATGAAAGGATGGCGAAGAATTTTGAGAAATCTTCATCCATATTTGTTGCTTTTATAATTGTTTATAGAAGAAATGTTTATACCTTTTCATTGTTGACCATGTTGATATTGCATGTGTGTGTGAAAATTTTGGGGTTAAAAGTAATCAATGTATTGTTTTTGTGTTCTATATGTCTAGTATATATTTGTATGATTTGATCTATTTTCATATATTTATACTTTGATATTCAGTGTAAAAAGCTAAAAACAAAAAAATGTTTGTTTATACTAGTTTTTTTTTCTTTATATATCTTTAAATCAAGTTTTCACTTTATATTTTTCTACTGTCATATTCACAACTCTTTTGTCATTGACAGTTTTTATCCAATTATGCATCATGTGAACATCTTACAGATAAAAATAAAATATTTTTCAAATAAGGAATCACCAGAATCCAATTTGATTGCAACTCTTTTTTTTTTTTGTCTGTTTTTCTTAGCACCTTTTGTTTATTCTTCTTTTTCTGTGTGTGTGTGTGTGTATATAAAAAATTAAAAAAAAATTTTGATTCCTTTGCTACATAAGAGTTCTCATGTTTCAAAAACAATAGCCAAAAGCTCTGTTTCATCCTCGAGCCAAATTTATTTCACTTGAGGATGAAACAGAGCTTTTGTTTATTGTTTTTGAAACATGAGAACTCTTATGTAGCAAAGGAATCATTTTTTAAAAAAAATAATTATAATTTAGGCTCTACTTTTGTACTGAGTACTTTTTTTTAAAAATAAAAACAAAAATACTAAAGAACTTCGGATTATTTACCTAACGTGTTCTTTCCTATTTTTCTATACATTTGCACACATATCTCACACACTGAAAAGAACTTTGTTTGACCAAGAAGCCCTTTTCACACCCCAAAAATTCTAATGGTTGTCATTTGATAAGATTTTTGGTAGTGAGTTGGTTTGAGAACTTTTCAACACTCCTTTCACAACAACTATTCCATTAAGTTTGGATTAAATGACATCACTCAGTAATATTGTGCATTTCACGTGGAAATGATTTAATTTAAAATGCTCATTTTATTTAATTTTAAATTTCGTTCTTTGTTGTCTGAAAATCCATTCATCAGATCCCCTCTCATTTTTATTTTTAAAAAATCTTTTAAAGTTGTTTCTGATTAGGAGTGGGTCTTTTCTTTTGGTTATTGTTAGTGCAGATTGTGGTGTGTGGAGGTGAATGTATTTACTGCTAATTGCGGTAATACAAAATATAGAAATTTTTGTAGCAGGCACACTATAAGAATGTATTTTATCAAGAATTATGTTAAATGTTTGTATTTCGTTTTGTAAATTCTTATCCATAGACAAGATGCTTAGAAAGTAAAATGAAATTAAATATTTCTGAATATTCTTGTATTTGGGTAAAACCTGCTGAGGGTGGAGATAAATTCTGTCACCACCATATTTAATACCTTCAGTTAAAGGTTTGTTTGCTTGCTTGCTTGCTTTTTTTTTTTTCTTTTTTAAAAAAAATCAAGAAGAATCCATCTGTTGGAAAATGTCATTAATATGGTTTGAAATGCTGCCTTAAATTCCAAATATTGTTATTTCTAAAATTATTTTGGCTAACATTTTTATTTTTGTTGCATTTAACTACAACCTTTCCAGTCCTTTTCAAATGAATGTTATGTACAGTAACCTTTTTATTCTTGAGAGAAGATACTTATTTGTTATGTCTTACAAATTATTCTAAGTTCACTTAAAATAATTTGTAAGTTTTGAATAACATTCAACTATGATACACTGACACTTTTAATTTTATAAAATTGTACAAGGTAACTTTTTGAAAATTTTTTTTATTTTTTGAGAAATATCTCTAAAACAAGACTTAGGGGTTGTGGGGAAAAGTCAGTCAGCTTAGTAAATATTAAGATAGAACGTTAACTTGAATTAAACTGGGGTTATTTTAGATTGGAATAAAAGAAATTTTTACACGCAGGCTATTGTTCTCATCTTTGTTGTTGTTATCACGTTTAGGCTGATGTATCCTCTGACCTTTATTAGGTATATATCAATCCAGGTAACCCACACGGAATTTTGAACTCGTTCCATCTACCCATGTCTCTGCATATCTATTTCTTATTTTAGTACTGCTCAGTTATTACTTGCTCTGTTTTCACAGAGTCCAAGTACGTTGCTCAGTAATTAGAGTTCAATCCCTTGACTATGTCACAGTATGTACTTGGACTCAATGGAATCTGGGTGAACAATAACTAACAGTACTACAAATAAGAACTAGCTGAGATATCCTTAGGTATAGAAAATCTACCTTTTGTAGATTAAATAAAGGGTTCAGTTCAAAATTCACTGTAGGTTACCTGGATTGATATTTGCTTGAAGGCCAGAGAGCATGACAACTGCAATGTACTAACAATGAAGATGTCTGATTTGTGTCACGGCTAGTAAACAAAGTATGTATGTATTTCTAGCCAGCAATGGCACTTGTTTGACTTGGAGGCAGCAATCAGGTCGATTAGGAAGAGAAGTAGGATTACTATGATATTGCTTAAGAAAACATACTTTTTAGTTCTTATTTCAATTTATTACATTGGAAAATCGATTAATTCAGCTGCAAAAGATCTGTTGCTGACCAGAGTTGCATCCTCTATCAAGCACCAAATTGTTATGGCTTGAGAACTCCTTGTACTTTTCTGTTAAACTTCTGCCCATGATAAGGTTGGATAAACCAGGAAAAATCTCACTGTCAATATTAATTGTAGCAAGAGAACTCATTACAAGGTAGTTAGCAAACATCTCCATCAGCCAAATTTATTTAAAAGTGTTTGTGTTGTTGTTTTTTTTGTTTTTTTTTTTTAACACTGCAAAGAGAATGCCCCCTAATCAGCCTTTGGAAAGTAGTCGTTTTGAGTGTCTTTTTATAGAATTCTGTGTGTGTGTGTGTGGGGGGGTGATTTTTTTTTTCTTTAAAGACGTTACTGGGTGATGAAACGTGAATAGTTTACAACAATATGGAACGTGCAGAGGACGTGAAATGAGCCATCACTGCACCAAATATCAGTCTTACAAAAATTTTAATTTTCCAAAAGATAAGCAAACTATTAAGAAAAAGGAAAATTTCGTTGGAGCGCGTATTTGTCCGCCAGACAAAAATTGTTACATTTTGGGAAGTTTTCGCTCATCTCCCATATTAATCAAGTATGGAACTTTCAGATTACTCTTTATTCTTTCTGAAAAATTCTCTTAATGAAAAAAAACAACAACAACAAAAAAAAAAAAAACCCGAAAAACCTGAAGATTGCAAAATGCTATGTTATTGAGAAAGGTACAGATTTTGGAGGATGAAATTACGAATTAGCTTAGAAGATGACAGGAGATAGTAGAAAAATATATTGTTTAACAAAATTCAAATAAAACAACGATTTTTATTGTTTTATTTTTTTTAGTTTGGTGACGAAAGACAATCAATTCTCGAAGTTGTTTATTTGAAAGTTATTTAACGCTTTCTAAATCTCTTTCTCGATTCACCATTTCTGTTATATGGAGGCGGAAGAAAGTTAAATCTGCGTCGAACAAATGTTCTTTAATTTCTGTAATTACTGTTCATCGACATCACATTGGCGAAATGTTAAGCATCGGCTGCGTTTCTCAGTTCTTTCACACGCAGTTCAGTGGTTCTTTTTTTTTGCTCTGGACCACTTTTTTTTTATCAGTTTGGTATTTAGGATAATGTCAGTTCAACTCTTAGTTTACAGCTAAATCATGCTGAAGACTTTGGTTCTGGTTTGATCACTAAAGTTATGCTGCGACGAACATGATTATTAGCACTTAGAGGAGTGTACGTTTTAGAACACCAGATACTGTAGGTTAGTTATGGCTGTAAGAATAAGAAAGGCTCAGGAAATTACTTGATCGCTTTGGTATACTTGATCGAGTGGAAACTGATCAACTGTTCCCGTCTGACCCTGTTAGTTCATATGATCTGCTCTGCATTTGTGAATAGACTGCAGCTCTTAGTATTTGAACTTAAACTTATAATTCGAATACCTTATGCCGAGGAAACATGTTTAGCTTGAGATATTGAAATAAACTCAGCTGATTGAATTGAATTGGATATTAATTACGCCAAACGTAATTTGTATATTACCAATTTTTTATGTCATGGGTGTTTTAGTAGGATCTCTCTGAATATGCGGAATTGTGGTATATGTTCGATTGAATGGTGATGGATGAGTTCTTGTGGTGATTGAGTCAATTGTAAGAATGAATGGGTTGTGAATCAAATTAGCTCGGTGTAGGATAGTGAGAACCAACCCTTTCCTAATTCCCCTTTGGCCTTGTGCCACAGTTGTATTTTTAAATACAATTAATAAATTTACACCAAACGTGAGTTGTCTTCGAAGCTCAATTACATTTATCTTAGGGTGTTCCAGTAAAACTTGTTAATTAACTCACAATGTATCTCTCTTGGTCAGTTGCGTTTAAGGCAAGAAATCTTGTGAAATGGCAGTTGTTTTCGAAGTACAAGAATTATGAAGCTTTTTTTTATGGAGAAGGTGCTGTCAAAGAAATTGACAATTTAAATGGCTAGATTTTCCCCCTGATTCGCTGTGTCCTTATTTATAGCATTGGAATTTTCACTACTTGTACTGTTTCATTATTACTACTTTTCATATTTTTGTCTGTTTTGATTTTAGTTTAAATATTGTTGGCACTTGACCGTTCCTTCAACAGAACTGACCGAGGTTTCCTTTGTATTCTTGTTTGTTTCGATTAATTTTGGGGTCATTTCGATGAACCATCTTGCCATGTTTAGCAGTTTAATAGTGTTATAATCACTAAGTCGTTTCAAACCACTGGAAGCAGAATAGAATATGAACGTCTGCTTTAATATTTTCATTTCAGTAACGAAAATTATCGTTTAGAAATACTTAATGTTAGCGCTCAATAGATACGGTCATTAACGAATCAGTTGTGAGACAAGGATGTGTCTTCTTGCCAGATTTATTCAATATCTAAGGGAACTGGAGACTCTACCAGGATTTATTATCAGTGGGCGCTATCTTAACAGTGTAAGATACGCAGATGATATTGTGTTGATGGCTGACTCGGAAATAAAACTACAGGACCTCCTAGGCAGCGGAGTAGAAGAAAGCGAGAAAAAAGGACTAACTATCAACTACAAAAAGACAGAGAGTATGGTCATCAGTAAGAAGAAAAGCCCAAGATGCGAATTGCAAATTAGAGATGTCAACATCAAGCAGGTGCAGAAGTTTAAATATTTGGGAAGTGTTTCAAAGGATGATGGTAAATGTGACACCAAGATCCGAAGTACGAAAGAAGCATTCCAAAAGCTAAGCAAAGTGCTGAGAAACGGAAAGTTATCGTTTGAAACAAAGAAAAAAAATGCTAGATTGCTATATGGTATCCATCAGTTTTATATGACAGTGAATATTGGACACTCTCCCCAAGGATGAAGAAAAAACTCGAGGCAGCAGAAATGTGGTTCTACAGAAAGATGCTGAGAATTCCGTAGACGGAGCGAGTAAGCAACAAGGAAGTCTTAAAGAAAATGGCAACAGAAAGAACACTTCTACTAAGAATCAGGAAAATACAGCTGAAATTCCTTGAACGCATAATGAAAATGTAAGGCTTAGAAAACTTACCATTCACGGGGCACATTGAGGGCAAGACAGATAGAAGGCAGTGAGCCACTTAGCTGGCGAGAATGGATGTGGATGAATGACGGAATGATAGGCAGGGTCTTAGCAAAAGGAGAAACACTGCTAATTGTCACAATTGATAGGAAGTTGCGGAGAGCCATGATCGCCTATGCCCTGAAGGAACGCCGTACACAGAAGGAGAATGATGATAGCTTGTGATATGAAATTCAGTATTTGGGAGGACAGCAGAAAGTAGGTATTTATCTGCACGCCCACTCGAATGTGGCACAAGGCCTGGATAAATGAGTATGAATAAATGGTTAAAGTCCCCGTAGAACAACATTAGATAACAGTCTATCTGTCATCCAGCTATCACGGAGGTGTTGAAAAGCTGTCAGCACAAATAAACAATCTACTGTGTTAAAAATGTACTTCTGTGATATTTTAAACTTAAAAAAATAATAGTTGTTTTTTTTTAAATTGTACTTTATATCAGCTAGTATTCTTCAAATAAAGTTTCAGGAAAGTATATTTTATTTTTGAAAAATTTTTTGATAGATTTACATTTTTTTTATAACAATGGCGCTAAATTAAAAAAAACATTAAAAATTAAAAAAGAATTTTCAATCAATTTAAATTAGTTTTGAAATACAGCAAAGTATTTTTATTGGAAATATTAAATTTAATCTATCAGTTTGAAATTAAAACTAAAATAAAAGCTTTAAGAAAGATTTTTCATTATTAAAAAATAAAAATGAATTTTAAACATTAGGTATCGCATTTTTTAAATTTAATTTTTAGAGGGAGTGATATCAGGTATATGTGTAGAAGAGGGTGAAATAGATGAACAGAATTTGATGCTGGAGACATTCACTTTACTGATAATAAACAACTATTCTCTAAAACGTGCAGAGAACTGTGGCTTTGCTATTAATTATTTGAAAAAAAAATAATCTGGTAATTGTTACATTTAATTTTCCCAAAATTAACAAAAATTCATAAATCAAATAGAAATTTCCTTTATATTATTTACATCGTTCGAACTGTTGTCTTCATCTTTATTGCCATATTCACAACGTTTCGGTCGTTGTACGCTCCGGCCTACTTCAAGTGATACACGTTGGAATTTCGAACCGAACTCTTTATTTCGTACACTGGGGTAGATTGTTCTAGTTCCACATGCCATGCCTCTTCTGGATATCTCAGTTTCAGTTAATTCCGTTTAATCGTGAATATGGCAATAAAGATGGGGACAACAGTCCGAAAGATGTAAATAGTGTACTGTAAATAGTGTTGTACTGTAATCAGAAATACAGACATAGGCATTTCCTTATTTAATTCGTTGATTTGTTTTTTTTTTATTACATACCAATTCTTATTGGGTTATTTAATGTCGAATATTGTATAGGGCACCTAGTGAGGATCAAACTCACTACTTAGTAATAATGGTCAACCAGCTAACCATTGTCCCAAGCCGTAATAAGTAATTTTCTTTAATTATAAGACAATCTTTTAACAGATCAATTAATGTGATTTTTTTTTTCATTTTAGTGTCTCATCTAGACGAATTATTTACGAAATTCACTGTTTACGGCCACATCACGTTGAATCATCAAAGTTAAGCAACGTTGAGCCTGATCAGTACTTAGATAGGTGACCGCTTGGGAATACCAGATGCTGTATGCTTGGATTTGTGGGTGGTGTAATCATTACACTGTAATGGATAATGGTTCTTTAATAGTTAATCGGAGAGCCGAGTTCCAATTCCCGTTGGGTTCGTTATATTCACTTACGCGCAAATAATCTTGGGAACGATATGAATTCACCTCTTTTCCCACCAGTTAATTAGTAAGACTTGTAACCATTATTATCTCCAAAACAAAAAGATAAAATTCCATACAAAATATTTAGATTTCAGCATTAAATAACCCATAGAGATGTTGATATGCCGCTAAACAAAAACAACCAACAACTAACGAAAAGTGACGGTTGTGTTTAATGGAATAATAATAAGAATAGTGAAGATAAATTTAAAACTAATTCTGGTCAACAAATTTGAGCGAAATTCGTATAATAATGAATGACAATACAGACTTAGAATTTTAAACTATATTGGATGATTTTAAAATGCCACGTTCCTCTTTGGTAAAAATAGCAAACATATTAAGAATTTTTCAGAAAAAAATGTTTGTGCTTAAATAAGTAATTGAATAAATGACAAATTTTGTAATTCTCAAAAGTTGTTATTAAAATATTTTTTTTACCCATGTTATAAATTTCCTTCTTTTTGCTGTTAAGGAAGAAGCCACAAAACAAAAACAAACTTGATTCTTCGCCTTTTTTTTCCTAGTCATCTTTGAAAGGGCGTGACTTTTATGCGTAGAATAAATCCCAAGACATGAGGAGGGAACAAAAAAAAAAAAAGGATGGACTTGTTTGCACCTCCCACAAACAATATCAATCACCACTGACTCATTGATTTTTTTCTTTCTTTCTTTTTCCGCTGTCTGATTTAACAATAAACTTGTTGGACACTGTAAAATAATAATAATAAAAATGGCGTGCAACTGAATATAGCCTAGTTAGACTTGGCGTTTTATCCATTCAGCCCACACCCACTTCCCGAATGTCGGTCACAACTCATGATAGAGCTGGTGACAATAACTTGAACCCGGAACTTTAAAAACAAACTACTTAATAATACTAATATTTTATTTTTCTTACATTATTTATTTATTAATTCCCTTATTCCTGCTTTTTCTTTCTTTCTTTCTTTCTTTGTTACTATTTTTTCCTCATCCTAATAAACTTTTCAAGTTTATTGATCCAACGCTCCGGATCAAGTGGGCGTCTCCGGACTTCTAACTGCTTTGTTGGGCCGCTATCATTCACACCACTAATATCATTGAAGTGGGGGAGGGAAGGTGTTTTGTATAGTCTCTCTTTCTCTTCTGTGTTGACCACAGTCCACTGCCCTTTTCAGTGTGACGTCCACTTTGACAAACCAGCCGCACATCAGTCTTGGTTCTTCTCTCTAACTGAACGGACCCGGATCTGGTAGGTAAGATTTTTGTACCCATCTATCAAAATGCACAGAAACGCTTACATTATATTTGCACGCACTTTACAATTTACGTGTATTGCACTTTTATGCACAAGCCAGAATTCGACATTTTTTAAGCAAGATAATTTCTTTAAGTCCGTAGCTTAAAATTGGTTCAGAATTCAACCTTTTTTTAATGGTAGTAACTATTTGTAATAATACAAGAAGACTAACAAATAACAATTTTCCTTTTTAGTAGGAATCATAATCTCATTTAATGAATGCCACTTAAATTTGATATACCACGCATTTAATACTGATACGTCTATTTAATTTGCACAAACAAAACACTGCAGTTGTAAGTATAGAACATAAACAAAACCACGACATACAAAAGAATTTTGAGGAAATGTACAAAATTTGATATGAAAAATGTCTTTATTTTCGAATTATTAGAATCCCAAACTTTTGGGATTGTTCTAAGAATACAAATGAGCCTATAATGGTCAAAGTAAAACGGTAGATGTCAAGATAGTTTCAATTTTGACTCAAGTTTTCAATAACTGTTAGTGTTCAATGGTAATCATTATTATCAGTAGAGTTATTTTGGTTTGTGAAAGAAGGAATTCTTTCAGAGAGCAGAACAACAAGAAATGATTGCTAGTTCATTTTGAGTTTAAAATTACTGTTAGAGTCCTTTAATAAGGTTGGAGTTGAGGTTGCTTCGTTAGTTCTAAACAAAAGCTAATGCCCGTAATTTTAAAGTTTAGAAACCTCCAAAAATTTTTTTAAAAGTTTCATTTATTTTTCTCTCTCTGACCAGAAACGAAATTCATGATGTTAGTTTTGGGGTCAAATTTTGGAGAATCAAAATCAAATCAACCATTCTCGCAGAGGATTGAGTCTATCATATCTTTTTTTAGTTGTTTTCAGATCAGTTAAATTATCGTCATTAGTTTTGTAACTAGTCCGAAAAAAAATGCTATCAAAAGTTCAAAGTTAGAAAAAAAAAATATCAATAAGTCATAGAATTTGAGGATTTTTTTTCGTTAGTTTCCAACGAATCAAATTTTTCATAACAATTGGGAGAATTGATGTGTAAAGTTTTTCATTAGTTTTCTTCCCACTCTCCGGGTCAGGGGTTTCGTGGTAGGAACTTACTAACCCTAAAATTCTTCAATTTTTTTTTTCAGCGTAAAAGAAAAAATGCGTTTTTGTTTTTCGTCTGTACTTTAAAATTATAGATTAGAGTTTTAGTAGAGTGCATAGGATTACAAAAATACCCAAGAAATGTTCTAGCTTTTTAATACGAAAATAAATATCCTTTTTCTTAATGGAATATTTGATCACTTTTTTTTTCTCTACAATTATTTATCTTTATTTGATTTCAAAATCAAAAGCCAGGAACCCCCGATTAATGAACAGCAAATAAGGAAACGGTAATAAATTAAATTTAACAAGTCAGACATTGTTTTTCAGTTAAAATTTAACCAATTCGCATGAATATCGCAAAACTTTTGCTCTTCACTACTTGATATCACGCAAAAACTTGACATCACACAAAAACTTGATATCATGCAAAATTGCAAGGAGATATTTTGTTGGATTTGACAAAATGCAAAAGAAAGCGTTCTTTGTTGATTTTTTTAAACACTTCTTTCTTGAAAATGAAAGAACATCTGTTTAACTATCAAACTTCAATTTTTTCTACAATAAATATTTTTTATCACTATGTGAATAGTAACTTGCACTTTGTGGCTTGAATATTTTTTTAAAAACTTTAATTTAAAATTATTTGCTTGGTGAGTTTGGGTCCCACGAGATTCCCACTTCCCTGAACTCGGCGTAGAACCTATTTTTTTAATTTTTTTTATTTTTTTGCTGCTTACAGTCCCCGGACAGTTAAACACAAATTATTTTACAAGTATTATTTCGTAAAGATAAAATTTGCTTAAATTAATGAAATACATAATTGTGATGATTTTGGGGGCTTCTATTTTTTTTTTTTTCAGTTTTATTTCCAGCGCATTTAAGATTTGTTATCGTGAAATAGAAAAAAGGGAATCGTGGGAATTTGTTAGTTTTAGTAAAAATGTGGTACTAGCCACAATCTGTTCTTTTCATCCCTCTCTCTCTCTCTCCACACACACACACACACATATTATATTTTATGTGTTATGCATTTGTTCAAGATCAAATGCAGATCAAATATGGATCTTAATCCGACAAGATGATAAGATAGACAACAAATAGGAAACGTTTAACATATTTCACTTTTAAACCTTCGTCAGGAATTGAGAGAAAATTAAAAAAAAATTCAGTCTTTTTGTCTGTTTGCCATCAATCGCTGAGGAAGCTTTAATAAAAGTGAAACATGTTAGATTCATAAATGTTTTCAATTTATTTTTATTGTGTGTATATATATATATATATTATTGTTTAAAATTGTTTTAATGGATACCCATATTTGAGTAGATGCTGTTTTTATTTCTTTATTTCCTTCTACCGGCCTGAATAAACGAGAGATCATATTAGAAAAATATACCCTCTCCTGAAATAAATAAATATAAAATATACTGTTAAATAAATAAATAAAATATGTCGTGTTAATAAAAGAAAAATATCCATTCATATATATATATATATATATATATATATATATATATATATATATATATATATATATATATATATATATATATATATATATATATATATATATATATATATATATATATATATATATATATATATATATATATATATATATATATATATATATATATATATATATATATATATATATATATATATATTCATATATATATATATTCATATATATATATTTCATATATATATATATATTCATATATATATATATTCACATATATATATTCATATATATATATATATATATATATATATATATATATATATATATATTCATATACACACGAACGAATGTTGTTAATTCAACCGACAAAATTAAATTTTATTTAATTTTTGCAATTTTCGAATAAGATGTACATCCCAAACAAAATCGTAGGTAAATTAATTTTTTTAGTCATTATAAAGGACAGTGTGTTATCAGTATGGTAGACAGGTTTTTTGACTAAAACATGAACTCTGGAAAGTTTATCCAAAATTTGTATTTGGATGTACAGCAACTTATTTGAAAAAAATACAATTAAAAAATTAACAGCCTTTGTGAATTTAACAAAATTTGTTTGGATGAATTCTTAGTGTTTAAATACACACACACACATGATTAGATAAAGCGGAAGGTTCATCATCTATACTTCTGTTTCTGATTACTGGAGAGCCAGTCTACGAAACTTTTGAGTGCGGATGCTGAAGATAATACCAATCAGCTAAGTGACACACACACACACACACGCATATATATGTATATATATAAAAAAATCAAAATCGGAAGACCTTTCGTGTGAAGCGTTTCGTCCCTTATGACTTCATGTGGATAAATTTGTTTATATATCGTTATCTTATATGTTATTATTATACTTATTATTATTACTCAGGGATGCTGAATATCACATCAATCAGCTAAGGACAAATTTTATATTCAGTAACAGTATATATATATATATATATATATATATATATATATATATATATATATA